CTGTCATTTGAAGGAGAAAGCTCTAGATCGCATTAAGTGGAGGAATTGTTTTGGAAGAGACTGTGGACCTGTCGTCTTGACAGATTACTGCTGCTGCTGCTGCTGATGATGATGATGACGACAGTTTTTCTGTAAGTAATATGGGTTTTTTCATAACTGGACACATCAGATGCTATGGGTACATTTATATGTGGCTGTCTTGTCTGTCTCTTGATGTTGTGTTTATGATGTGTGCTTGTGCAGTGCTACACCAAATAAGAAGCAAAAATATGCATATGCATGATGTGAGAACACGTGTGCCCTAAAAGAACCTGGTTCCATCATGCACATAAAGGAAACGTTCATTATACAAGGTGTGTCCCAAAAGTCATTAAATATATTTCTTTCCCGCGCTCCTACCGGTCGGAGTGCTCTAGAACCGGTTGGGTTAGGGGGGGGAGGCCTTTAGCTTCACAGCGCACCCAAGGTCAGTCTGCTCAAGCATCGGAGGCATCAGTATCACTGATTTAGTGCACCTGTGTTTTGTGACGTCACAGCACGTGATGGCGGATACTTTCGAACAACATTGGGCGGTCAAGTTCTGCACAAAGCTCGACAAAAAAGCTGCTGAAGTTCACGAACTGCTTAAGCAAGCCTACGGGGAGTCTGCTCTATCATATGTGCAAGTTACAATGTGGGTGAAGAAGTTTAAGGAGGGCCAGGAAGGAGTGGAAGATGACCCCCCTCATCATCTTTTTCGACACCAAGGGTGTGGTCCACAAAGAGTTTTTACCCCAAGGACAGACCTTGGGGTAAAAACGCTCCCTACTACATGGATGTTCTAGAAAGATTAAGGAAAAGGGTCATCCGTGTGCGAAAAGACATCACCTCTAACTGGCGGCTGCATCATGACAATGCGCCCAGCCACACGTCTCTGCTCATCCGTGAGTTCCTGTCGAAACACCATGTGGCAACGCTGTCACAGCCACCCTACAGCCCCAACCTAGCTCCGGCCAACTTCTTTTTGTTTCCGAGGATCAAGACTGCACTCAAAGGACGCCGTTTTGAAAGCATTCAGGCTATCCAAGCGGCCGTGACAACAGCTTTAAATGAGGTTCCCGTCGAGGCCTTTGAGGGGGCATATCCGGCATAGGAGAGTCGGTGGAAAAAATGTGTAGATGCTCATGGACAATACTTTGAAGAATATTAACACTTTGTACCGATATCATCAATAAATTTAAAATATATACATATTTCATGACTTCTGGGACACACCTTGTACAGGGACCAGGACTACACATCTAAATAAAATAAAAATAAAAATAACAAAATTGTAATAATAACAAGAATAAAAATTGACCAATATTGGTCTAATTTTAACCAGTTTGATTATCCTATCTATTTTATGAGGGAGAGTCAGTAAGTAGGTCACAATTGGAAGTAAAACAGCTATAAAGGACATAATAGGTTTTCTGTGTGCATCACTGCCTAGAAACGGCCCATATGAAGCAATATTTTAGCTACCATTGAATTCAGAACCTGCTGACTTCTGGTCTGTTGTCCAGAATCATAAAAATGAAAATATACAAAAACTTAATTCTGTCTGTAATATTTTATGGTCATGAAACTTGGTCCCTGACATAACGAGATGTACAGAATGAGAGTATTTGAGAACAGGTGCTGAAGAGAACATTTGGACCAAGCAGAGATAAAATGGTAGGAAGGTGGAGAAAATTACATGATGAGGAGCTTCGTAACTCGTACTCTTGGCAATTGATAACCAAGTCAAGGAGGTTGAGATGGCAGGGCATGTAGCACGCAAGAGTGAGAGGATGGATGCATATAGGATTTGGTGGGGAAGGCAGAATGAAAGAGACCACTAGAAATACCTAAATATAAATGAAATGAAAATAGGCATCTTTGATAAATAACATGGGGTAGTATGGTCTGGATTAATCTAATTCAGTATGGGGACCAGTGGCCAGCTGCTGGGTTCCATAATATTGTCGCGTGTTGGGTGTATAACGCAACAAATAACTTCACGCCGTATTTGATATAGCGAATTTTATTTCACATTCGCACTTACAATCACCCAAATTACAATCTGACAATTACTGCTATCGGCAGTATCACAAATATAACACTGCAAATGCTGGTAACTCGTAACTCGCCAACTGATTCGGAACTAACTCGGAGGTAGCTTGAGGACTGACTGTGAATAGTCTTCGCTGCTCCGTATCTAGCCTCGTGCGGACAACGCAGAAAACAGCCACGTAATAGGCACCCTTGTTGCCTGGCGCCGTGTTGCTAGCAACGCTGTCCGGTGTTGTTTACTGCTGCCTAGCAACCGCGGTATCCCGTGGTGACGTCACNGAGAATTTTGTGGAATGAAGATTGGCAGAGGAAACCGAAGTACTCGCAGAAAACCCACCCCAGCGCCACTTTGTCCACCACAAATCCCACTTGACCAGACCCGGGATCGAACTCATGCCGCCATGGTGGGAAGTCAGTGACTAACCACTTGAACTATGGTGCGGCCACTAGTTAGTTCTATAAACTACTAAATGTTTTATATCAATGTGCATATCTTAAACACTTCAAGCTTCTCACATATAAAAGAATATGTTAAAAAACAAATGTACTTTTACATACCCTTCTCATACTGAAATGTTTTCAGGTAGAAAGCTTTGCAAGTTCCCAGCTGTGGGCGGCCTATATGAGCGTCAACTGAAGTGACAATGTCCGCCCCAGTACAGCGTGCAACACGTTCCAAGACACTTGCCTTAACATTAAGCACTAACGTCACCCGCAAGGCTAACAAGAACTCTTGTGCCAGTCGGGACACATTGCGATGTACAAGCACCAGATCAGGTTGCAGGTTTGCAATGCGGGCCACCACATGGCGCAAGTACTCACGTTCCTGCAAGAATGACCAGTTAAGACAGACCACATGTTCTCTGGAATGCAAGCAGCACATTAAAACTGTTATTTTACATTTCGTTTACACCTTCTTAGTTTTGTGACAATCTGGATTCTGAGGTTCTCATGGCAGTGAATGTTAAGACTGCCAATCTACTTGGACGTGATGCTGTGTAGTTTACTAGATAATTACCAATGCTTTCAGAGGAGCTTACTGCATCTACTGAACCACTCAGTGTCACATCCCAGAAGGCAACAATCTCCATTATAGTTTCATTTGCTTATATCAGTAGCACAAATATTATAGAAATCTGAGAACAAAGTATTGTAGAAGATAAGATGGGTAAAGTAAAAAGGACTGCAGAAATTTACATAATAAGGAGCTCTGTAATTTGCAAAAAAATACATTGACAATGGAGACCATAGGTTTCTCCAAGACAGTGGTACCAATGAACCACACTACATGGCATGACATCATGAGAGCTACTCCTGCAAGAATCTCAAGTTCCACATAAAGTTGTATATCTGTGACAAACCTGCATCATCACAGGCTCCAGAGAGAGAAGCCTGCCTTCAATACGCTGGTATACAATTGAGCAGCCAAGCAGCAGGATGCGAGGAGAGGTCAGCTGTGTGGACATAGCGCGGTGAGCCACATTCTTTGAACACACTACACCATTTATGATGCAACTCTCATTTTTACTTCCACCGGGAACTTTCTTAAATTGAACATACCTATAAAAGGTAAGAATCAGTGCTGAAAGGAACAGAATTCATGAATGCTGAAGGGTTCTGATGATGGAGTATTTCACTTAGTATTGCTGGGTTTCTACTTTACTCTTCTCCATGGTGTCCAGACCTGCTCCAGAGCCCACCCAGCCTCCCATCCAACAGGAACCGGGGACTCCTTTTTCAGGGGTAAAGTTGCAGGGGAACAAAACTGACTTTCACCTCCATCTAGTGCCAAGGTCGAGAATGGTGGAGCTATATCTCCAATCCACCATATGTTTTCATGGCATAGTGTTTAACTAATTAAGCACATGGACAATTTTACCTTCATTACTGGTTTTCTCAGATATGTTCATTGTCCAGTATTCCAAAAACAATGGAATGTTTTGAAAACTGGATGTTTCAATTCCCAAGGAAGGAGGGGAGTCAGTCACTGGATGTCAAGTGCATTTCTGAGAACTTCATAAGTACCAGGAAACAGACTTCAAACCATGTCCAGAGATGGAGAGAAGAGATCTGCTCTTCCGAACAGAGTAGACTGAGTATGCCCCCCGTGTTTTCACCTGAGAAAAGAAACATGCCCAGTTTCTGAAACACTGTGCTCTGTTCCAAATACTACACATTGAACAAAGCTCAGAAATCCAGGAGCAATAGTGGAAAAGAACAGGCCTGAAATTCAGCACATTTGCTGTGGGTAAGCAGTTTGATGCTTGAAGAATGCTGTCTTCTGGGATGTGGCACCACATACCAGAAGATGGCATTCTTCATAGTCACTGCTGTGAAGAACTCAAATCCTACATGGTGTTCCCCTGTGGAGCAGCTACTCATCGACATATTCGGTGAATCAAAGACGCTATGAACCATGGTGCCACATCCCAGAAGACAGCATTCTTCATAGTCACCACTGTGAAAACCTCATATCCTACAGTTTGATGCTTGTCTAACTCTCACACCAAACAGCAAGATGATAAGACACATCTTTTCACTTGAAGCTTGTTAACCCATCACTGTGAAATTCCATGCACTGCACATAGTTGACAGTTTGTGCTTTGTGCTTTCACCTCATGAATGGTATTTGGACTATATGAATTCTGCTTGCATGTGCTTCGAGATAAAGGTCAATACTATAGTTTGCTGTCGATTTTTCTTTGAGAGAATGATCTTGGAAATGTCAACTGCAAATCAGCTAGTAAATATTAATCAATTTTTGAAGTACTCCAAATTAATGGTTTTCCTATTCCTGCGACAGTAATTTTGATTCTAGTGACAAGGAAATAATAGTTAACACTAGCTTTGCAGCCAGTGTTGTCTGGTATATCTGAATTTCAATCCCTGGTGGAAACTCCTACTGCATCAGGTTAGGAGAAATTTATATCCCCCATGCAAGTGGATGTCAAGGGCTGAAAATGAAGCAGACACACAACAACCAAGAAGTACCTCAGTAAGTTAAAAAAGACTTGGCAGCGCCATAGCTCAAGCGGTTAGTTGCTGGCTTCCCACCGTGGCGGCCCGGGTTCGATCCTGAGTCTGGTCAAGTGGGATTTGTGGTGGACAAAGTGGCGCTGGAGCAGGTTTTCCCAGAGTACTTCGGTTTCCCCTGCCAATCTTCATCCCATCAATTGCTCCACAATCACCCTCACCTATCATCTGGGGTTGGTACAATAGGCCAGAAGTTGCCACAGGGCAAGGGACTTAGTCCCACCCCACTAGCAATAAAAAAAAGTGAAAAAAGAATAATGAAAAGTAAATTTAAGAGAAACAAATATCTGTTACTTGGAGAGTTGACCAGAGGCAATGTTCTGCAGGAATATGCTGGAACTGGAGTTTCAAATCAAAAGTCAAATAACAATTTTTGTGTAAACTACAAGGCAATCAACCCTGTGACCAACATGCAACATTAATGCTGAGATGAGTCACAGTGTTCAAGGTCACAACTGGCACTGAAGAGCACTCAAAAGGCACTGCTCTGCAGAATGCTTGTAGCAGACAATGTGAATTACTGGTATAGTATCTGCCACCTGATAAACTAACTTAACTAATTAAGCACTACGCCATGAAGGCACATGGGGAGTGGATGTATAGATCCGCATTTTCTTGACCTCAGCACTAGCTGGAGGTGAGTGGTCAGCTTCATGACCTGACTGCTTTATCCGTGGCAACCCATTGAGTAAGAGGTTCAGACAACCCCAGAGCCCGTCTGGAAGACATGGAGAAAATTATTGACCCTACTGGGACTCGAATTCCAACCCCTCGATTGTCCAGCCCATAGCCAGTTGCTATACCAACTACGCTATCCCAGCTCCCTTCTTGAGACAATCTGAAATTTGTAGAGTTCTCAGAATGTTAATTATTTTTTCTAAAACTTCAAACTACTATATTAAAGCAATACCAAGTCCATGATTCTAAGGCTCACTGACATGTATGGACAAAGTCTCCCTCGACAGTCTTCTTTCAGTGTTCTGTGTTGAACTTCATCAGTACTCATGACTCACACTAAGGTCTACAATAAGAAGATATGGACTAAAATCCAGAATGCCCTATGTCTCAAGCATGGTGATTAAGGAAAGCGGCCTCCGTAGTCTAGGGGTAATGTTCACACCTCATGACTCAAGGTACGTGGGTTCAAACCCAGCGGAGGTCATGGAATTTTTAAGGATGGAAAAATTCAGGGAACAAGTCCTCCGGAAGGGACTTTAAGCCATGGGTCCCGTGTCGTAGCTTTACGGCACGTAAAAGAACCTCATGTCCCATGGGGACCATTGAGCCAAATTGATCGGACATTTCCCGCCCAACAGTAGTCTCTAACCCTCTGATAGATGGGGGAAGCATCAAGAGATACCGCTGAGCCAGTAGAGGCCGAACTCGCTGGCTGAGTCGGGACTGATGGCACGCACCAGTATTGGTAGGGTATAGAGACTGGTAGAANAATAATAATAATAATAATAATAATAATAATAATAATAATAATAATGGTGATTAAGGAACCTAATGTTGTAGTAGTCCACAGTGTATTAACACTGAACCTTCCTCACAGGCATAGTGAAAAGCCAAAGAACTACTTCAGGAATCTGACTTGATCTTTCCCTTTACAGCACTTAACTGGGGTTCAAAGGCCATGAAGTATGTCACTTAAAGGTCTATAAGGAATCAAGACAGAAAGTTTAGGCTTATTAAAAATTCCCTGAAGGTGTAAAAATATATTACAGACATCTGAAAGAATCCATTATTATTGGAGATCAACAGAAAAACACAAGAACAATCAGAAATACTATGGAATGAAGAGAGATAAAAGCAATGAAAAAGAGCAATCTTTAAGGTACGCAATATTATATTTGAGCATCTTGTTGCACTGATGTATCGCTCACTCATTCACCTCTGTCTTTAATGCAACTTAAAAATGTTCACAGTCTCTCTTTAATTAAATAATGCCCAACTTGTGAGAACATGCATACAAAGGAGGCACAAACACAGATGCCACAAAAGAAAATAAAGCATAACGAGAGAGTTTCAGTCTCAAATAAACTTATTTTTGTGTAAACAACAATAATTGAATAGCATGGAGATATACCGTATTTACGCATGTATAGGCCGCACATTTTTTGCCAAAAATTCAAGAGGAAAACTGGGGTGCGGCTTATATTCGAAATATTCGAAATCACACTTCATTTAAAAAAAATTATATTCATAATTAGTAATATAGGGTGTTCTACTCCTGAAATAATATTCCAAGAAAATTATTTTTTCTATAATTTCTGTCTGAAAATTGTGCTGCGGCCTATACACGCACGCGGCCTATACATGCATAAATACGGTACTGAGTTAAGATCTAGTATAGTGCGATGGCTTCAGAAAGCAAACGATTGCCTGAAGATGGCCAAGTAAGACTGAAACTTGTAGCATTTCATGTGATTTTAATGTTATTTTAAGCTAAAAAGAGACTATGAATATTTTTAAGTTGCATTAGAGATGGAGGTGAATGAGTGAGTAATCTAAGATACACTTCGAGTAATACAAATATGCCATGATCAAACGTGGGTCTCTACAATGAGAAACAAAAGCAAAATTCATGTGATATGAAATTTTTTAGAAGTACTGAGGGGAAAACAACAATGTACAGTATTAGATATGAAATTCTTTTGTGAAGCTGGAATTTGAAATTTGTTAGCAGAATTGCATAAGAAATTTCTACGATGGTTTTGCCATGTAAAATAAAATGACAGACCAAGGAAACTGAGAACGATAGCAGAATTAAATTTTATGGGAAACAGACCTGACAAACATCAAGGAAAGAGGAAATTGCTGTGAGGAAGACAAAAGAAAAGACTATGAGCAGAAAGATGAGACTGGAGACTTTTTGTCTAATGACACACACAAAAATGAAACAATGCCAGAAGAAGAATGAATTGAAAATAACTGGGTTGTGTGATGGAAGTTTCTGGTGTTCCCTTAATTCAATATTCTACTCACTGCCGAATGTCCATATCATCAGCATTGTATCGAACATCAGGCCGAACTATGTCAACAATCTGCTGGGCTATAGGCACCACGATGTCCACCCAACTCTGAGACAAGCCCTCTGAGTTCAGCAACTGCTTCAATAGACTGTGCTCATGTTGCTTGAAGCCACTGCTGTAATGGCACGATCATCTCAACAAAAGCACAAACAACATGCATCCATGGGAAACTTCACCGCTCGAACAGAAAAGATTACATCAGCTTCATGGAACTAATCTTCCTGTGTAGCTGTTTAAGAAAAATATTTCCTTCCATTGTCAAATCTGAAGTTTCATCACTGTCTACATAAAGGCTGGTAAGCACACGAAAACCTACCCCTATTATAAATTTTAATGTTACCCTATTTTTTGTCTATTTTAATTCAATTTTAATACACTTTTAATTCTGTGGCAGTCTCACACACCTATTCTGTAGAGTAAAACATTAAAATCATTAAGACTGTGTATGGACAGTCAGTATAATCTGTACCAGCACAACTCTGCACAAACATGTATCCTAGACAGGGGTACCAACTTGCCTGAGCCGTAGGTATGCCTGCTGCTCTCCGTTATCTGTCCGCAGCTGTGTCACGTTATGCCATCCAGATGCAGGAACCAACTCCCGACTCTGCGCATTCTGAAGGAGCAAAGTTCCAGAGAGGAATTCACTTGATATGCCATGTGTATGAGAAGCCTCCAGCAGATGGTTATTACCTATTTCCAAACACATCTGGATTACAACTCAACTATGACAGAAATCCAAATTCTCATTGCAGTAAGACACATATACTGCTGTATCTGGCTCAAAGGGACCAAATAATAATTCATTACCCACTGTTGGATTCAGAAAGTCCAGGGAAGTGGCACATATATTTTTAGAGGTCCTTCTCTAAATCTCTATCTTCTCTGATATCATGCAGTCTGGTGCTGTGTTTCCCACACTGGGAGCTGTAAGCCAACAGAGAGCTGTGAAGCTTTTCTGAGCATAACCAGAAATTGCTGAATTAATTTTAACATAAAACGCCACATTAATTTACAAATATACAATTTAACAGAAAAAGTATTTCACAGTCATTAGTGACCTTAACTGGTAATTATTTTTCCCAAAGGTTGACATGCTGATAATGTAACTGTCAAATTCTTGCAAAACTTCAGTTCAATTCAGGTCAGGGCAGCACAGAAGCCGATGAGTGCAGTGCAAACCAGATAAGACAGTCATGAGTCCGTCAGTGCTCAATTAGTTGGTGCAGTCCATTAATGAGTCTGTCAGAGTAATAAGTCAGATTTTAGTTCAGTGTAGTGACATTAAAATGGAGTGCAGTGTGCGAGCAATGACATCATGGTGAAGTAAATAGTGGACAAAAAACTTACCTCAAGAGAACAAGTGATTACGGATGGTACAACTATAAATGCTCCAAAAATTGATAAACATTACAATACTATAAATTTGGATTTCATATAGCAACCCAAAAACAGAACAGTTCTTAATTATAGCAGATAATGCGTCTTGAATTTTCGTACTGGTGCTAGGATCATATCAGAGAGCAAGTAAACAAGGTCATATGATGTTTGAGGCATGAGGCACTGGACTTCTGTGTCAGGGGTCTCAGGCATGAAACCTACTGCACCCATACAGGATTTCAGTTTCACATGGCAATGAATATAAAAATTACAGTTCTCTAGAATTTGATGCTGTGTAGTTTAGTAGATGGCACCACATTCTGGTTAGAAGATGAAGACAGTTACTCCAAAAAGTTAGTACATCTCTACCAGACTACCTAGCATCACTTCCAAGATGACCATAAGCGTAATTTCATTAAATCCAGATCAGACCTTTCTACATGCCTTTCTTATCCTTGACCTCTGGCAAAGGCAATACTTTGCAGTTAAAGTCTTTGCCCTTGATGTTCATTATTCTACCACTGCAGTTATATCAGTCCCAGCTCAGAAATGGAAATATATACAATTCTTAAACACCAGGAAGGCTGATAAGAGCACAACTGTGGGCAACAGACACGACAGTGTTGTGGTGAAGTTGCATGGGTGCTCACACCAAATGCAATGTACATGTATGGGGGAAAGGAAGTGAAGCTCCAACATCACCATTAATGGAGGTTGTATAACCCTGACATGCAATGCAAAAAAGTTATCAGAAAATTCTTGAGTAAGAGAACAAAATATTACCATTTTAAACAAGATGATGAATTCTTTTTTCCTGAACTCCTCTCAAAAATGTTTTACTCACAAATGGCTACTGAATATGCATGCTAATGACTTCAGAAGTCCTGCAAAGGCAACTACATTTATACTAATATATTAAACTTGATGCACTAAGTCATCCTGCTTCAAACTTTTCTCAGCAAACGTGAAACTATAACAGTCATGCATTCAAACTAATCACTGCCACTTGTTTCTTCAATCTTCAGCTCATGTTCATAAATATTATTAACTGTGACAGCTAAAACACATAATGAGAGAACAGCCTTTTGCACATAGGGATACATCAACATTTTATTTATCTGCCCATCTTTCATTGCAACTCAATGCATGTTCTGGCAGCTGTTAAATTTGAGACAGACCAATTGAAATAATTTCATAAATTTGGAAGTCACATTATATAGCATCAATATCCCAAAACATCCAGGGGTGCATCAGCACACCAAAGCAGCTGAAAGATCAAGACTTCAAATTCAAAATACAAATAATATATAAAATTTCTATGTATCACTTACATGCCAGCAACTTCACTTCTCCTCCTGACGGACTGTCAGCGTGATGGTGAACCTCCTTGGTACCTGCAGGACGTCTAATGTGGACAGAACTTTCAGCCACATTGAGATCCAGATAAAAAGTAGAATTTGATGAAGGCAAACTTAATGTTTCATCATGTTCTGACAGATGGCAGTCCGATTCAGAATCTATGAGACATGAGAAAAACAGTACTACTAAAACGCATTTCATTTTTGGACATCAGCTGTTGGAAATTTATTAAACCATAATATTGTATACTGAAGACTGCAACGAATAAATGTATCAATTACAATTCAGATCAGTATTAACCCTCTAGAACACAGCAATTATTATATATGTACCAACATTGAGAAACTCTGCAGTTTGCTCACATAATACATTTGTCTTTTATATGATCGTCAAAATTAAGAGTGATTGTTTCCGTAAACAGCATTAGCCAGTTTGTGTTTAAATGGAGATGTGACATGTATCCTGTGAGGTACAAAACAAATAAAAAAAATAAGTTTAAAAAACTCCATGTTCTGAAAACTTAACTAGTTTCATAATGAAGGGTTTCCTTGAGCAGCAGAAAATTACACAGCTGGTCAAACGATTTTTAGCTTTAACACAACATAAGGCCCATCACTGAATTCAAGAAAACCTTGCATTGTATCTTGTCCAGAATCAGTTCATTTCAGTCCACATCCCACACACTATCTCCTTGGCTCCCTAAGATTGAGTTCAGCATCAACCTCCCCGCTACACTAAGCCTCCAACATTCTCTATGTGTTTTTTATTCCCATACTGTGGATTTAAACACTTACTTATTAACGAATAGGTATAAAATCATGAAGCTTGTTATGCACTTCTCTTAAATCCCACATCATATCATGTTTCTTGGGTGCAAAATATTCCTCAGTACTACCAAATATCATGGTCAAAACTGGTAGCTTCCAGCTTCAAATTTTGTAGATCATGAGTGCAAATTTCAAGCAGGAGATTATCATAAATGTGGCTTTCATGGCATTCCTCAATCATTCTAGGAAATAGAGGGATACTGCCTCAAGCTGGGCATCAATCAGGTCCTTGCACATCATTTCCAGTTCATTATTTGCTCATCATCCTGATTCCAATATATAATAACAGCCACTGAAAAAGATCTTAAATAAAATAACACACCAGCCCTCAGCACTTTGTTCTGACATCTTTAATCTAGGTGCTCCTTTCACGCTGAAGAAGCAAGACACCAAATTTCACAGTTAGATCAGATCAGAGTGGACATGTTAGGTAGAAAGCCTTCTAACAGTGGGCATGTACTGCTTAAAGACTTCCTGACAGTAGGCATGTGGTGCACAAGGTTTCCCATCATTGGACTTGTGGTGGAAAAGGCTTCTCAACAGTGGACATGTGGTCCACAAGACTTCCTAACAGTGGGCATGTGGTGCACAAGGCTTCTCAACAGTGGCCATGTGGTGCACAGGCCTTCCTAAGAGTGGACATGTGGTCCACAAGACTTCCTAACATTGGGCACGTGGTGAACAAGGCTTTCTAACAGTGGACATATGGTGCACAAGAATTTCTGACAGTGGATATATCTGGCAGAAGGATTGCTGAAAGTGTGCATGTGGTACACAATACTTTGTGACAGTGGGTATGCCTGGCACAAGGCGTCTCAACAGTGGGCATGTTGTACACAAGGCTTCCTAACAGTGGACATCTGATACACAAGACTTTCTGACAGTGGACATTTCTGGCACAAGACTTCCTGAGAGTGGAAACCTGTGGCAGAAGGCTTCTGACTATGGACATGTGCTAGAATTTTTATGATTTTGGAAGCCTTCCGACAGGGCATAAAGAAGGGTGAAGTGATGATATGCCAGTGGTACTGGGTTCCCCTATCTATTACTCTGCGCACATCTTACCAGTGGTAGTAGAGTCTTGCTGTGGAATCTGTTTCACCCATAAAGGTTCCTGTGCTTCCTGGCTAATCCTCTTGCTATCTTCAGTTGGATTCGGACTGTTGTACTGCTGCGGTGACAACACTTGCTGTGGCCGATACAGAGCGTAACCATCCAGAAAATTCTGTTCTGCTACACTGTCAAGATAACCTGCTTCTAATAAAGCCTGGCCTATGGCTGTGCCCTGAATTCTGATGAGAACGAGAAGATAATGAGTATAAGCACCGAACAGTAAATATAGCACAGCATTATGATTTGCAAAAATGAGTTGGTCTAGCAGGTCTAGCATCACATTGCTAACATTACCACAAAGTTAAAGTGCAGCCACTAGCTGATTAGTGAACTGTCTAAGACACCTTGGTTCAGTGCACATAGAAAACACTGATCCTTTGTCGTGACTGACATGTCAATGAGCCGTTGCCTAGCGCCGGCTTACTTATCGAGCCATCCCTACAAAACGGACAACGTTCTTGTAGTTACATCACAATATTTTAAAATTGAGGGAATATTTCTTATACAGTACTTGTAAGGTTTGAGTTATTCACGCCGGTGACTATGAAGAAAGCCGTCTTCTGGGATGTGGCGCCATGTAGATATTGTATTAACCGACGTTTCGAAGGAACATATCGCCTCCATCTTCAGGGTAAATTGAGATTGGGAGACTGAACTCCATCCCAACAATATGAACAGAGAGGTGGGGTTTTGTCTCAACAAGTCATGGAAGCATCTCATCTGTTCCCTCAAGAAACATCCGGGATATGATGCCAGATCCACAAGGCCGTGCAGGTCCAAACCTGATTCGCATCATAGGCGGAAGCCTCTGGCTTAATGCCTGCCTTTAACTTTGCCTTTCTCCGTCAACACAATATTCTTTATATAGTACTTGGTTTTATGAATCCTCTCGCATTACATGTTGATTCTGAGTCTGTTTAATTCAATCCACATTAGAAATTCCTTAATTGTTATAACATCCACTTATAATTCTGCAATTCTCTTCAACTTGCTGACTGTACGTTTCTGCACCAAGTTCTTTGTTCATACGGTCATCTCCCACTAACAGGTGATTCAATGCACTGACACTCCCACAATTTGTAAAAACACCAAAATGATTGCTGTTTCTCAGTCAACTGATGACTGCCAGTGGATGAACACATTAGCAATGACTGCAAGTTCAGTCACATCAGCGACCCATTCTGGTTGCATGGAGTGTGCAATGTTATCAATGTTCACCGCTTTTTGACATATTCTGTAACTTTTTGAATAAAACTTGTGAAATTATGGACTGTACAATAAAAAGCAAAGCAAATTTTTAAATTAAGTTTATTAACCAAAGACTCGCCCATCGATATTTCATGGAACTAATCAACGTTGATGAATGTGGAATGACCATATCTCAAATCTACCATATGGGCTATATGTCTAGTCCTTCTTTAACAATAAAAAAGAAAATCAGAAACAGAATAAAATTCCTAATAAGAGGAGGTGGAGGGGCAACCTAGCAGAGAGTATGTTTACCTTATAAGCACACGTTCTTCCCTAATAATGGGAGTAATATAGGCTATATAAGAAATTCCGTACATGTCACTATTAAGAAATGCCAACAAATTACTAAGACATGTGCTATTGTAACTACCTTAATATCAGTACAAAAGTGGCAAATTTCTAATTTCAAAATTTTCTGACTCACCGTGTTGCTGCGTGATTCTGTGCCAACAGCCAGTCTACAAGCTCACTGCCCAAGAAGCAATTATGATAATTGCGGAGACGATGCCGGTGTGTTTGTAAAGTCAGCCCCATATTTGGATGACAGATATCTTCAAACAGTGCTCTAAGGGATGCCGATTTCTGTAGAATTTGACAGCGTTCCTCCATACTCATGTAACTAGATCCTTGAGCTCTATATCAAGACAATAACAAACTGTGTTATCTTATTTATACATACTGCCCTCCACCCCCCAGGGAGGGAAGGAGGAGTGGAAAGGTGACCACTTCCTGTAGGAGTAACTTCACCTACCTTCAACACAGATCTTCAACAGAAACATTCCATCAGCATGTTTGTTCTCACTACATGCCATGGTCCACTTGTTAGCACAGCTGCTTCATATGTGAGACCTTGAATTGCTTCTGTTTGAGCAAACCTGCCTCACAATTTGGTTGCTTTCCTTGACTGTTCAAAGCAAACTGTGGGACACCACCTCCTAACTCATTTACAATTATCTTCTGACTTGATTTCATTAACAATATGCATTTATTTATTTAGTCACTGTACATATATCAATGCTGTAAGTAGATCAGGTTACATAGGGTCAAATAGTAGGAAGAATAGTGAATAATAAATTAGAAAGGATGTGGAAGAGAGAATTACAGGTATCCCTTATTTTATGACCAGTCGGTTTATGGACTTTGTGGCAACAAAGTAAGTAATTTGTATCTATTTCACGTGGAATGAACTTCATTTTCATTACATTGAGCAAACTGCGTTTCTAAAATATTTCTGTGAAGGCAGAGAAATACATACAACATATGGAGAGAAGCAGACACCCCCACCCACGTGCATCTCCAAACTTCCCAGTATGTAATTGCACTTTGTTGTGATCATGCAGAATCAGTTGCAATCTTGATGCCTACATTTTGTCCACACATCTCTGTGCTACTTATGCCCATCAGGGCTGCCAACAAATGAAAGTAGTTGTTAAGAGGTGTTGGCAAGCCAAAGAAAGTAAGGATAGCAATAGGCCTGGCTATAAGATGCACTATTGCAGTACACCAGCTATGAGAAAATAAAACATGAACAATATAATGTACTTTTAAGTGCAACAATAAATATCACAAACAAGTGATAATGTCCTTATTCTTATGCTTATTTACTAATGAAATATACATAACAATTTGGGAGGATTTTTCTGGGACTCACGAATGAGACAGCAACTTTTGCAAGTAAAGTAATGGAAACATCATTTTTGGTTCACAAATTTTCATTTTACGGACAATTCTCATGGAACAAATTACCTTTGCAAATCAAGGGACACCCATACTGGCATAATATGAGGTACAATTCCAGTATTCGTTTAGAGGGTCTGGGGTCAACTACAAGAGATCTCAGTTTGGATAACTGGTCTCTGGGCCTGAACAAGGGACCTCCCAAATATGAAGCATGAATGCTCAGCACTTGACTGCAGCATCATCTATCATGTTCTTCATCACTGTCATAAAAACCAGTTATTTAATGTCCATATTTCTGATGCCAGTATCCCAATAAAGGGCTAGACATGAACATACAAATCACAAACAGATTTCTGAAAACAAAATTATACAATAAGCCAAAAGTAAAGAATATTCAGGCTCACCTGCCAAGGGCAAATCTATCTTCCTGGAAGTTAAGCGACAATTTTCTGCGACCAGTCGCTGCTGAGCTCTCTGGACACTCTGCAACATTGCCACATGTACTGCTGGTAGTGCTTTGTGACACTGAAGTCACAGATGATGTTATGTTGCCGAATTTTGTCTGCAGATCTTCTTGCAAGGCCCTCAGGTCAGCAGACAAATCAGCACCAATATCTGCTGACTGTAAGTATGACAATACCACTTTACAGCAGTATGTACACACACGCAGGTCACCTGCAGATCATCAATTTTCAATTCAATTCAATTCAATTCTTTATTATTAATGTGCCGAGTCAACAGCCGCAAGGCCAATTACAGACACAGCACAGTACAGAAGAATGAATGACATTATACACAATCTTATTAAAAGTCGAATAAAAATTACAGGTTAACACTTGAGTAAAAGAAAACAAACAAACAGTTGATAATTATAACAGTAATAAGTTCATTATCATTAAACTAAGTGTTATTACGAATTCAGGAATGAAACATAAATTAAACATAAATATTTAATTAAGAAATGAATAATATAGAATTACAGAGGATAATAATAATATACGTAATTCATTTTGTTTTACTGGACATGCAAATAATAAAATATTAACTGTTATACTATATTTAAAATTTGTTTGGGTTGAATATTCAAGTCTCCGAATACGTCAACATCCCTGCAGACAACATTAGCAGCTGCTGCGCATCTAGCAGAGGGACAATTTTTAAATAAGGAGCAAACATTGAACAATGCAAAATCTCTGATATACCGAGCAGGAACTCGGAGACCAACAATTTCCAGGGCAGAAGGGCAGAATTTAGAGCCAAAATAAACTTGAATAAGAAAGAGAGCATCAAGGCGATGTCTCCTAGTACATAAAGTATGTAATTTTAACTCCTCAAGAGCAAGAGAATAATTGTAGTGAACTTTAGGAAAGAAACGTTTAAAACAAAGGGCCGCAAACCTCTGCTGGATGCGTTCCAGCTTGTTGGCATCAGTTGACGTAATCGAATTCCAGACTACGGACGCATATTCAAGTTTAGACCTAACTAACGTAGTGTACAAACTGAACATACAGTCTAGCGAAGAGAAATTGTAGGTAATGTTACGAACTAGACCCAATAGTTTCGCACATTGAGAGAAAATGTAATTGACCTGGTCATGGAAATATAGCTTAGCATCAATAAACACTCCCAGGTCTTTTACAGAATCGGTCCGGGCTATTGACGTTTGAAAAAGTTTATAATCGTAGATAAGTAAGTTGGTTTTCCTGGTGAAGGATATAACTTTAGTTTTACTGATGTTGAGTTTCATACAGTTTGCAATGCACCAACCTTGTATAGAGTTAACGTCAGACTGTAGTAGATAGCAGTCATGAGGGGAACTAATGGCTCGGTAAATTTTGATGTCATCAGCAAAAAGCAGACACTTAGAATGGGCAACTGCATCACACATGTCATTAATAAACACATTGAAGAGAAGGGGTCCCAAGACAGATCCCTGAGGTACACCTGAGAGAACTTCAAAGGGTGAGGAAAGAACACCAGAAACACGGACCTGGGATTTCCGGTTGGATAGGTAACTGCGAAACCAGCTTACATAACCACCAGAAAGCCCAGCAGCACTTAGCTTGTGAAGAAGAAGAGAATGTGGGACAAGGTCGAATGCATTGCTCAGATCAAAATAAATGGCATCAGCTTGTCTCTGGGAGCCAACTATAGGGGAGATAAAATCAATGTAAGTCACCAAATTAGTGCTTGTGGATTTTGTTTTAGAGAAGCCGTGCTGATAAGGACTAATTTTTGATTTTAGATAATGGGAAACATGTTCATGAACAATAAATTCGAATATTTTAGAAAAATTACTGAGTAAGGATATAGGCCTATAGTTGCTAACAGAGGTGCTTTTGCCTTTCTTGAGAACAGGGACAATTGCTGCTTGCTTCCATAAGGAGGGAAAGTTATGCTGAGATAAGCTTAGATTAAAGATGTGTTTCAGAATAGGTACAAATATATCAGTACAACCCTTAATAATGAATCCAGGGATGTCATCGACTCCAACAGACTTAGATGGTCTCAGGCGCTTAATAGCTTTAATAACATCGGAATCTGAAACAGACGCTAAAGGTAAGAATTCGGAAGATGACAATAGGTTGGGGAAGACAATAGGACCAGGATTGTGGTACACTGTTTGAAAATGTTTTGAAAATTCATCAGCAATGTCATGAGGTTCGATTAAATGCTTACCATCAACCTCAAGCTGGATGGAATTTGAATTTCTTTTCCTAAAGGAGGCCACATATTTCCAGAATTGCTTGGGTTGCGACTTTAAATTTTCGTCCACAGATTTCAACCATCTAAGTCTGTCATACTTAATAGTAGACTTAACTAGCTTACGATAATAGGAAAATTTTTGGTAAAGGCAATCGGATTTCTTTTTCTTAAAACGTCTGTAAAAATAGTTCTTTTTCCTTATGTAATACTTTATCAACAATATTAATTACTGGTTATTAACATTTAAAGAGCAGTGTTATTACACTTTCACAATATGTCAGAGTAACTATGTGGGGCAAAGTTCTCCATGAGGAGCAAATCATAACTCAGCTAGTGAAGACATTTCCCATTTTAATGCTTGCAGCATTAAAATAAATTCATTCACAATTACAAATGCTTCAAAACTGCATTATCTTCAAAACTAAACAATGTGTGATTTTCAGTATAATTTAAAACTATACTTCAAACAGCAAAATTAACAGAAACTTATTATATGGTGGATGAATATGTAAATAAATTTAATGCAGTTTATGGAACCTAGCTTAATGCAAATGCTCGTATCAACCATTACCTAACTTTCATGGAACCCAAAGCTTTATCATGTTCATGTGGGCCTGCCACTATTTCCTGTTCAGTCCATACCCTCAAGAGCATACCTTCAAGAGCAGTTTCAACAGTATCCTACCTCTATCAACATTTTCCAAAAGAACTCTTTCCCTCAGGCATTAAGTTTATGTATGCATGCTTGCTACAAGCCTCACCCATCTCACTCTGCATGACTTTATCATCCTAGTAATACAAGCATACAAATTATAACACTCATCATGCAATTCTGTCAAGCCTCCTCTCACTTCCCCTTTCTTAGGTTCAAATATCCTAAACACCCAGTTCTGACTCTCAATTTGTGTCTTCCTTCTGAGAGATCAAGTTTTGCCCTCATACACAACTACAGGCACATCAAACATACAGAAGAGGTGGGCTAATTCCATGCTGTACCTGTACACCCCATGATCTTGCCTGGAATCTCTTGGTTGCAACATCGAGAGCAGAAAATCTGTCCACATACACGACAGTGATGACGACGCCTGAATGTCGTAAACTTCTCTCCACAGTCATAACATTCTTTGCTCACTGAATCTGGCATCCAGTACTGTTTGAAGTCTGTGTATTTGTATGCTTGCAGTCCCTGCAGATAAAGCACACATGGGACAGTTTCTGCTGAACAGGTGTGGGGCATATATGAACATGGGGAAGAACTATCACAGGGGGATGGCAAGCTATGGCAGGTATACCCCCTGAGGTTCTAGATGACACTACAATCTAAGCAATAAAAAAGAAGCATGAAGTACTAGCTACATATTCCCTTCTAGGTTCAGAATTACGGCTATTTTCATTACATCTACTAGGTCAGCTAATTCCTACAAATGGAACAAATAAGGAACAATGAAAACAGTATAATTCATATAGACAAATAAACAGGAAAGTAATGTGTGTGTGTGCGTGTGTGTGCGTGCGTGCGTGTGCATTTGATTATTCTCATATGACTATGATTACCAGCATTAATAAGCAAAGATATTATTTATTTTATTCTTGCCAATTGTCAATATGAACATTAATAAGACTATCTTCATTATATAAACAATAAACGAACTAAGATCTAAAGGTCTGTGACGATTATATATTAATACAGTTACTGTATTTCTGGACGTTATACATCATCCTATCATTATTTAAAACTGGATTCTGTCTCCGTCTTCAGGGGGAGCTACTCATCTGGGCCCAATCAATAGAGCTAGTCCCTACCTCCAGATCTATCGAATGGGCCCAGTTCAGTAGGTTCCACATTAAGACACAGACAGAATCAAGTCTCTGAAATGGGATGTTGTTTTAAATAAAAACAGGATGATGGATAATGTCCAGAAACACAATAATTGTAATGAAGGAACTATTTGTCAAACTCTGTATTAAACTGTTCTATAACTTTTACACTTAAACAAAAATTACACACTATTTTTGTTACATCCTACAAAATACTATGTGAACAAGTATGTATATGTGTTCAGCTTCTAATCCTACTTGCATCTGTATAAATTATCAAGTTAAACTTCATCATGTAAGACCACACTAGAACATGTCCTGCTGAGAACAGATCTGATATAAAAAGGTATAAGTTGTACACTGTAATGCAATGTGAAGAAACAGCTAGTGGCATAACTGTGAATACAGTGAAAAAAATAGCCCAGTACAGAAAATTCTTATTATTGTCTCCAATCCCCAAAATTTCCCAAATTCTGATCTCAGACTGAAAAATCAATCACACACAAAATGTGATGATAATCATGATAACGATATTAATTATATTGATAACTGTGTCATGTCACTGTTTCAAGGGTCACCATATGGAACTGTATCTACCTGTCTCCACTACAATACAATAAAAGGACCATTACAATGAGAAACACAAACAAAATCCAAACAAAATGAAATGTTTCAAAAATACTGAAGGACACCAAGAAGTGCATATAGATTAAACTCCAAAGGAAGATGACTTATGGGGCAATCTAGAACAAGACAGTTCAGTGAGGTACAAGACGAGAGCTAGCAAGATAATGACAAAGAATGGATTGTGATTAGATGGCAGAGACTGGAAACGCTGAGTCCATCCGGCCATATAAAACGGAACTGAGAGTGGTGGTGATGATGATGATGATGATGATGATGATGACAATGATGAGGATAGAAGAGGAGGAGGAGGAGGAGAACAAAGAGTGGGAGGGGGAGCAGGGAAGAGGAGACAAAAGGGAACACATTGTACATCACTATCAATTTCAGCGACTGCCTTATTATACAGGTGTTCCAAAATTCTGAAAATCATACACATCCTTATATAACAAATAACACTTCACTTTTAAAAGCTCTTTAGTGCTGGCACTGACAGCCACAGTGACATCCTGCAGCACACCATGAACACAGTCTCCAGTAATAGAACCTAACAGACAGACATCACCAATACCAAATTTTCATAAAAAATGGGTTTGTTAGATTTGCCATGTCTGTCTGTCCACTCATCTGTCTGCCTGTCCACATGGAATGACGTCACCTTGATTTTCATGAAATGTGATATTGGGAACTTTTACCAATATTTGCCAACAGAATCTAATTTGGTTAAAACAGACACTTCACATGAAAAGCAACATCTGTTTCTGCATACATCTAAAGTGTTACTCACGCATAACCCACCAAATATCTACCACGGGAAAACATTTTTTGAACAAAAGTTGAGAGAAATAAAACAAATTTTTATACCTAATGCACTTAAAATATAAATCTTATCGTTTTGATATAACTATGCAAAAGAGACTGAACGAAGCGGAATTGTTACATCATGCATACAATTTCTAATTATTTACACTTACTGTGCTCCTAAGGGCAAGAAGGTTGCTGATCCTCTTAAGCACATTAGGGAGGCTTCTTCCTTCACCCACGTCCACAGGAAACGATGTCACCAGTTCACTGGGAACAGCATCTCCCTGCTCCTACATTTAGAGCCAAGAAACACATCTCTGCAGTGCACAGAAAATACAATAACACAGTTTCCCAATATGATTACTCCAACACCATGTTATCAGTGTCAACAAATTCAGTCCTAATATTCTCCTCAGAACTCTGTTCTCAAAACATGCTCAGTCTATGTTCTCTCTTAATATCAGAGACCAAGTTTCACACCCATACACAACCACAGGCAAAATTCTACTTCTGTATATTTTAATTCTGACATTTTTATACAGCAGACAAGCTAAATAAAGGAAGGGGTACCAAGCATATTCAAATGAAATCTCCTCTTAATTTCCTCATGAATCAAATTTTTGATTTGTTACTGTCATTTTCAAACATCTGAACTGTGCCATATTTTCAAAGAATCTATTACCTGTCTTGATGTTAGAATTTTTCCCTGCATTCTGGTGACGTTTACTTCTAGACCAACAACCTTACTAGTGTTAGTTAAATCCTCTGTTTGTCTCTGTGGTATCTGTTATCACCAAGTAAATTCACATCATCAGCATAGACTAGCAGCTGATGTGTCCCATTCAATTTCACTCCCACCTGGTTTTCCTGGACCTTCCTAATGGCATATTCTACAGTAAAGTTGAAAAGCAAAGGCGATAAAGCACCTCCTTGTTTTAGACCATTCTGGATGGTAAAAGTATCAGTACAAATGTTTACCTATACAGACTCTAGTATAGGTTTCATTTAAAAACATTTTATTCAGTGTAACTAGCTTCAAGCATACCCCAAACTCTATCAGAATATTGAACAATACTTCCTTTGTAACCAAATCATACGCTTTCTTGAAGTGTGTGAAATGCTGATATACTGTATCATTGTATTCCTATATTTTCTCCAGTATCTCACGAACGCAAAAGATCTGATCAGTAGCTGATTTATTAACTTCACGACCCACGCTGATGATCTCCATTAATTACATCTACACATGGACTTAACCATGAGAGAAGTATTACTGGATGAAATTTTGTATGAAGTTAATAACAGTGATATCCCACCATAATAACAAAGTCAGTTTTAGTGCCTTTCTTGTAAATTGGTACAATAATAGGCCCCTTCCATTGATCAGGCAATTCTTCCTTATTCCAAATACAATTAATGAATTTATGTACCTCAGACCACAGTGTTTCGCCTCCTGCGTGAATCAATTCTGCTCAAATTTGTTCACTACCTGGTGATTTATACCTTTTCAATTTTGCAATAGCAATGTCAACCTCAAAATGGCTAGGATCGGGTACTAACGGCTCACCTGTATGTATTTCTGATATAATCTTGATCTCAACTCAATTCTCAAACTTCCTGCAAAATTCTCATTCAAGCCCCCCGCTTGTAATTTTGGTTAAGAAAAGATAGGAAGAAAAGCAGATTCTTTGTGTATTACAGCTGAATCCTTTACCAGTCCACTATGTAGGTTACGGATGGGAAACACAGGCTCTGAAAGCAGCACATTGCCACATCGTATTTTCTATACCTAAATACTTGTAATCAAAGCATGGGAGGTGAAAGAGTAACAAATTAACATGGAAGATACATCCATACTTACCGAGTTATCAGCAGACTGCCAATCTGTTTGGACAGGAATACTTGCCAATGCTCCTGTCGGTGATGGAGCATCAATATCTGCCATGGAGCCACCTACAAACATTCAAAGAAAACAAGAATAAGACAACAGTAGCCACAGTATACAAGCCAAATGCAGTCATAACCAAGTGACTACTTCATCCAAATGTAACATGTTAGCCAGTAAAAACGTCTGTGGGAACCTCCCACAGTGCATAACTGACAACTCCTGCAGCGCACCGAAAACAGGCAATATTTATACATCGCTTGCAGCCTGGCTTTCTGGACACCAACACAAGTGCTATCCAATCAGCGCTCACAATTGCAGCAATATTTATACATCACTTGCAGCCCGGCTCTCTAGACACCAACTCAAGCGCTATCCAATCAGCGCCCATAATCGCAGCTTCATCGCCAACAGGTCTGTGTGCCGCCTAGCGGCATAAGTATAAAGCTGCATGCCTTGGACATGCCGGCATCACCAACTGCTATTCATGGTTCTTCTGGCCTTAAATTTCATCATTCCGAAAAAGCCAACACAACTGCCGACTGTTTGGAAATTCAGTTCACCCCACATGATCTGTGCGACAATAACCATGAATGGCAGGTGAAGGCTAGATTCCAAACTCTGCTCAAAACCATAGACGACAACCCCCCTCAAAGGATAAGACCATGTGACGTACAGAAATTGATAAATTCCTTGAAATTGAGAAAAGCCTGCAGAATTGATGGCATCCCAAATGAATGCCTCAGGCACCTTCCAAGGTGACCATTGGTTCACCTAACTCATTTATTCAATCAATGTATTCAGCTTTCTCATTTTCCAAATTCTTGGAAGGAAGCAAAAGTAACAGCTTTACCTAAACCCAGTAAAGACCCAAAATTTCCGCAAAATTTACGTCCGATCAGCCACCTGTCCACGGCAGGAAACTATTTGAAAAAATGATGTTGAAATTGTTCCAAAAACATACTGAAGAAAGAGGCCTGCTCAAGGCAAGCCAGTTTGGTTTTCATGCACATCACAGCACGACATTGCAATGTATGAGGCTGGGGGACCACGTGACCCTTAATTTCAACAATAAAATGTCTATGGCCGTGGCGTTCTTGGGCATCGAAAAAGCCTTTGATACCACATGGTACTCAGGTTTGATGTATAAGTTATCAAAATTGCAATTCTCGAACAGTCTGCAAAATTTATTGGGTCATTTCTCTCTCAACATAAATTTAGGTTTCAGTTGAAGGCGAAATGTCAACGCCAAGGGAAATGCAAGCAGGGCTGCCACAAGGTTTGGTCCTGTCCCCTACTCTTTTCAATCTGTTGATGACCCCCGAACTCATGGTGTTTACCTGGCCCTCTTTGCGGATGACACCTGTCTGTATGCAACAGATCGCAAGTAGGGTTGTGTCAGAAAACTCCAGCGCGGTCTCAACACAATGGAGACCTGGTTTGAGCGCTGGAACATTAAAATTAATGAAGATAAGACTCAGGGAGTCTACTTCTTTCATAGTCGTTGACCACCCGAGTCTTGTCTTACTCTAAATGGATGAAATATTCCATTTGTAAATAGCTCAAAATATCTAGGTGTAGTTTTCGACTGGAGAGTTACATGGAGATTGAACATAGACATGCTCGAAGCCAAGGTCTTCAGAACATTCATTAGAGTATATTCCCTATTCAAAAGTGAGCAACTGAGCGCTAATATTAAACTGACCCTCCACAAAGCTCTTATTAGATCCGTAATGACTTATGCTAGTCGTGCCCGGGAGTTTGTGGCAGACACCCATCTAGTGAAATTGCAGTGCCTGCAAAACAAGGTTCTCTGCACCATTGGCAATTTTCCAAGGCGCATACTGGCCCTCGATTTGCACAAGGCATTCAAAATACCATATGTATATGACTATATAACAAAATTATGCAGGCAACAAGCAGAAGTCATACAAAATCATGATAATGAGAATGTTCACAAAGCTGAACTTCCTATCAAACAAGAAGAAGACACACTATTGTCATTTGCTAATATTCTATTTACACACATTCTGCATTCCATAGACATTCTGAATAGACTACAAACATTTACTTGGCATTTACTGCAAACCTTAACTGTATGTCACAGTCCTGTCCTCACTAAGTAACCATACTCAGCAGGGTGCTTTCTGAGAAGATAACAGTCACTCTGATACTCACAAAATTACCATGACCATGTTCAGAACAGCCCATCACTGGACCCTACCTTGAGCAAGATTAATCCAAGCATCCATCATAACTACTCTCAGAAAAATCTAACACTCAAATTTTTTTAAAGGAGAGGTTACACACTCTATACCAAGCTTCCATCAAAGTCTATAAACTGCTGACTGCAAAATAAAAAAAAAAATTGGAGGAAAGAAATTTAATGGACGATTTTGGAGTTGAAAATGAATGTAAAAAATAAAGCTAACCTATAAAAGGCTGTGAAGGCAAATAGGGTCATGAGACATCAAGACTACCACATTTTCTAGACAATCAGCTCACATATGGTGGTAAGGTTGTCAGCCTCAAATACCGGCCACCCTTTACTCCCCAGGAAGATTCCGGGTACTCATTTCTGTTAGAGGCTGAGTTGACCCCAGGGCTACAGTGCAGGCAAAAGGTACAGGTAAATTGAAAAAAATCCAATGACCTCACTGGGAATCAAACCCATGATCTTCTGGCTTGTAACATAATGCCTCAAGCAACTACACTACCACATGCCCCTGAAAATGAATATAGTAAAACCAAACTGTAGTACTGAATTATCTATTTAAGAAAATTTAAAAATACAATACAAGAACTCAGAATAATGCACGGCATGATATGCCTATCTGGCATCCTGTGCTTGTCTGTTTTAACATTTCCAAAACTGCTTTGGTTATGCATTGCTTAATACCAGGATATCTGCAAATAACGAACCAGAATAAATGTGGAAGTAAGTGGCCACAGTCTATTTTAAAGCACGAGTCCAGCAACCATGTAGAACTGAGTAAAACCATTACAAATATCAGTCATATTAGCTGGTATCTGGGCTGAGAATTGATCCTATGATTCACTATGTACAAAGCAAGAATGCTGATCACTCAGTCACAATGTTCAGGTAGATGGGCTTTGACTGTATTTTCTGGGATAAATATAATTCTTACATGCTCCATGGAATGAGTTTTACCTTTATTAAACCTGAAGAACTTAGACAACAAGAACCCAACACCTGGCTGACTTGGCTCAGGACTTAAAGCAGCAAATTCTGTGAGGTGCGATGGTGACTGCAGATTTCTGTTCATCTCGAACCTTGGTTTAAAAGACTCGTTCCTGGAAAATACATGTCACTACTTGAGTGAGACAGGCAAAGATGACACCTAGTGAGCAGACTTCACATAACACACCTGTATTCTTCATGCTCAAACCGCAAATAACCAGCAAAGTCTATACAAACAACTGCCTGGCAGCAATACTGTCAGTTTATTCTACATTTACGTTAGCATTCTGTTTACATCTCAAGAAGAAGTGTAACTCGCTCATGACATTTCTATTGCTTTGAAGCCTGAATTTCACCAAAACACAGCAAAACCTCATTATAAAATAATCCCAAGAAACTAGAAAATTTTCCATTACAAGCAGGTTTCCATTGGTACTACCCCAAATTAACTTCTGCATCCAGACCTAATAAGACTATTTTCCTGGTCTCTGTAGCTAAAACTAAATGAATAATCACGAATCTTTTAATTATTGCAAGAGAACTGCATACCATAACAGCTACAGAAGGGATAAGGAATTCCCAAGCTGCCAGCTGTTGAGTGATGAGACCTGAATTTGGCACAGTATCGAATATTACGACTGCAATCTTCTGAGGATGTGGTGCTGTGTGAGCTGCTGGATTAGCAACATGTTTATGGACATCAGTAACCTTCTGCCAAACAACAGAGTGTCACACCCCAGAAGACCCAGCTGTAGCTAACAGCTCTTTAAAACACAGTGAAAGAAAGAGTGCAGAAATTATAATGTTCCTAAACATTGACACATCTGAGCTGCACCAACAGCAGGCAATTCACATCACCAAAGGATATCACAAATGCTGATGAAACGGGAGTATTTTTTCATGTACTGCCAAGCAAAACTCTGTGTTTGAAAAGTTCTGATGGAAAAACTTTGCAAAGAAAGGTTGACAGTTTTCCCCTGTAGTCCTGGTGACTGGAAATCTAGCATGAGACACCAGACGATATTTCATATCATGCAGGAATGACTGATGGTATTTAATGCAAAGAAACAAGAGAACTGTAATGTTCTCTTATTCCTCAACAATGTGACCTGCCATCCTTCCAATGAACTCTAAAATGTACAGCCTGCATGGTTTCTCCCCAGCATCACAAGTGTATCTTAACCTATGGACCAAGCAGTTATAAAGTGTGTAAAGCTTAACTACTGTAAGCTCCTCATGCGATCTCCACTAGCCAACACAAAAGACCCATCTCTTGCCATTAGACTTGCAAATTTCACCTGTCCTTGACATCATAACTTGGATGGCTGAGACAGCAAACAAGTGTCACTATAAACAGTACATAAATGTTATGAAAAGCATGATTTTCAACCAACAAGTCAAGTGATGGCAAAACAGATGGTAGCAACATCCAAGAACTCCAGCAGTTTCTCAATCAGGCTACATAAAAAATGTTTAGGAAGAAAATCACCTTAATTATGATACTGAGGTTTAAACAGAAGCTACTGGAAGGAAAGCAACAGGTTCAGTGAGAATCATAAGCAAAGTAAGGAAGCGCAAGATGATGGGAATGAGAATGAGGTGGGAGATTAAGTTCCCCAAAACAGCTTGATATACCATAATGATTTAAACAGCATCAGACAACTTCAGAAATTTTCACATCACAATAATTCCAAACTTTCTGACGCAAGTTTCAGGGCTAAAATCCGCACTGAAAATATAGCCTCTTGGTCAAAAAAGTAAGAGTAAAGTTGTCCTTGTGCTTAACTAATTAAGCTATACACCATAAAGGAGTATGGGGGAGTGGATGTATAGACCCACGATTTTTTTGACCTTGGCACTAGTTGGAGGTGAGTGGTCAGCTTCATGCCCTGGCTGCTTTGTTCCAGGGGAAAGAGCCCCTACTACCCACTGGATAGGAGGTTGGGAAGACCCCAGAACCTGTATGGATAACAGGGAGGAGTGAAAATTCTTGATCCTACTGGGACTCAAACTCCTACCCCTTGGTCATCCAGCCAACTGCACTATCTATCCCGGCTACCCTTGGTCAAGAACATACATGCAGAAAACTTTACTGCATTAGTGAAAACAATGAACAATGTGATTAAAGCAATGCCACTTCTGTACACAAGATGAAGCAATATATGAGGCAATGGAGTCATAAAAAACTTTAATTTCAAGTACCTGTATAAAATGGAACTCGGCTGCAACAGAAGAAAATGTGGTCCTATGCAGCTGCATTTTATACAAGTTTCATTTTACTTGAGAAGAAGAATATCTGGATATCGGAGTGGAGAATGGAAGGTCACACAATGACGTTAGATGGTCTGAACTCTTCACCTAGAATGGCTTGGATGTTTCAACTGAGGGGGAAGATGGAGATGGTGAAGTCTTTCAAACATTACTACCCATACACCAGAGTACAAAACCTCATAATGAGAAAACCATGACAGGAATCTTCACCACCAGGAAAACCTGCAAACTTGTAATGAATGCAAGGCTGATAAGTCATGTGGGACATAAAAGTCTGCATCTGCAACTACATGCAGGACCATACTATTCTTAAAGCTGAACAGCTGTCTTCTTATTAGATGGGTGAGAGCTTGACATAAAGAAACACTATCTTCAACAAGATTTCAAAATATTACAGGAACAGGCTGTCTGCAAAACTTCTAAATATTCATACTGTGGTGTACTGCATTATGAAACCATGTAATCTGGTAGGCAGGCACCATTATTTCACAGGAACATACTGTCTCTATCCTCAACGTAAAAGTGAGCCAAGTTGGTGAAGTGGCCTGGGGGGCAACAAATGGGTCACAGAGAGGTGCAGTGACCAGTCATGACCAGGGATTGGTCCAAGTTTGGCCAATGAGAAACAGGCCCTGAAAAGGGAAACTTTTCCAGGGGAGGAGAACAACCCTTTCACTGGCATGAAAGGAATTCTGTAATTCCAAAGAAGGGCTAGGCACTAACCCTGCATGCCTAGAAACTACAGAGTTGGATGTTTTGGAGAGAAAGCCTGAGTTCCATATACCTAACCCTCTTCCTTACAGCTGAAACTAAGAAGATGGAAAAGCTGTCAGACTTATGTAAACCCTTTTTCTGTCCTTTCTCTCAATCATCTATGGCGACCCAACAAGCAATCCCTCTTTCTGATTAAGCTGTTCAACGTATGGTTTTCTCCTCTTTTCCAGGAACACATATCTTCCACTAATATTTTATTCATCAAACGAATCACACAATAGTTACTTTAAAGAACTTACACAGTAAGACAATCAAACGAATCAATTTACTAGAAGAAATCGTGCATATCATACTGCACAATATCCGAATGCCATTCTAAACCATAAAACTTAACATTCTGAACATGCCTCTAGACTATTATCTATAATACACCAAACTACATTTACCTCAAATTAATATTTGCCGAGACGACATTGCAGTCTCAAGAGTAAAGGGTTTTTAGAACTTTTCACCAATCCCTAACGAAAAATAACTGTGAAGAAACGTTAACAAACATAACAGGAACTATTGACAGTTGAAATTATCATAGTCACATGAACAGACCTGTAAATATTGATGGGCACAATCTACTGTAAACTATCAAATAACTAGATTGTTGCAAATTATTGAATATTTAAAAAAATCTACTTAATTATTCATTTTCACCGACTGCTGGAAAACCAACAGAATTTATAAAAATTTGGTATTTCTACAGTTCACGTGCATATCGGGTCCTTCCGCCACAGTTCGGACCGTTCGGACTGGTTCGGACGTTCTCGGTCGCTCTCGGTCCCTGTGAGCCCTGTGAGCCTATAAGCATGGATCCATAGTAATTAGACGACAAAGAGTAGAAAGTAGTCTTCTTTGTCGTCCGTCGTAGTAAATATTCCGTGGCTTACGAATTAGTGGTGTGATAAGAATGGGTAGGAAGCATTTAATTTAATTAAACTAGGCTGCGTAAATGTGTTTCGTATTAATGTCAGTATTAAGTTTTGAAAACGGGTTGACATAAGATTTTGCAAGTAGTGAACAATTATTATGTTACGTAGGAACACGTGCGAAGTTCATGTGCCTGTAGTTTGAAGGTTATAAACAGAGTTGGCAGACTGCCAGCCTTAGGCAATATGGCCAATTGTAAAATCCCACACAAAAGGGGAGTGGACCAAAGGCACCATCTGCAATTCATGATCCCTTAGGCCCCACATTTTATCCATTCGATATCGTGGTGAGGGGGTTTGAGTATGCCAAGGACCCTGAGAGCTATACCAGCGGTAGCGTAGCTACTGGCACGGCCTCCCTTGCTGGACAGGTCAAAGGGTAGACACCAGACGAAGGAACACGCCAAAAACCAAAAACTCTTCGCGGAAGTAGCGTCATCAGCAGCAGCCCCGTGAAATTCCCATTTTATTGGTTTGCAATATGGCGGCCATGACACCTCGGTGCAATGCTGCTACCATCTATTTTCAGGTAACATGAACTAAATTTAAAATGGCCTCCAGGGCCGAGAGCACAATCGGTAACAAGGTATGCTACCTTAGCAACTATTTTGAGTGCTCCCCCCTCGCAACCCCCCTTCAATTCTTTTTTTTTTTTTTTTGTTTTATGCAATAAATGCTTTTACAACCAGATCTCTTTCCTTCTGGTTTTCCCACCAGTATCCTATATACATTCCTCGCCTACCCCATTTGTGCTACATGCTCTGCCAACCTCATCCTCCTCAACTAGTGATATTGAACACAGTTCAAAAACGCCCAGTACCTTCAACGGAATTTTAAGATCCTCTGATTGGCTCACACTTATGCGATTCAATTAATTGCAATAGGTGTACGTATTATGATTGATTTAAGTCATTTCCAGACTATCTAGTTCATGTAGCTGAATATAGACGAGTGTTCTGCATGTTTCCCTCTCCCCAATGGGAGTTTCACCCCCCTGATCAGCAGCGACTTGAAGCACAGAGCAAATGATGCTCGAGATTGCTCGAGATGGTTCAAGTTCGTATAGTAACAGGCGTGACCAGAATGGTTTGAACGGCTGTTGTACTGCGATGTGGAAAGCAAATGGAAAAACTACCACATTACCACTTTTCCAGGATAGTCTCTTTCCAAAAACAGAGATATTATGTATGCGAGATGTTTCCTCTGAAGACAAAGGAAAGATAGAGGGGCGGATAGAAGTGGCCAGAAGACAAGGAAGAAGATGTAAGATGCTGGATGACCCTGGGGACAGAAGAGGATATTCTCATTTGAAGGAGAAAGCTCTAGATCGCATTAAGTTGAGGAACTGTTTTGGAAGAGACTGTGGACCTGTCGTCTGACAGATTACTGATGAATGAATGAATAGCCAGTATAATCGCAGAGTGCTTAGAAAACCAGTTTAGAGCACATGACTTCTGTGACTGAAGATAACATGTGGAGGCTCAAGCCTAAGCCATGCTGACTACCGTCGTTTAAGAGATCCCAGTTATTTTCCGACCCTGTGACATCTCAAAAGAAATACAAACCTTTAAATTAAGAAAGGCTTGTGGTTTTGATGGGATTCCAAATGAATGTGTCCGGCATCTCCCAAGAAGACTTCCTGTTCATTTAACACATTTGTTTAATGACTCACAGCCTTCGGCTGGGTCACTTCCCAACATTTTAGAAGGAAGCAAAAATCATAACTCTGCCAAAACCCAGCAAAGACCCAAAATTTATGTCCATCTAGCTTCTTGTCTACAATGAACAAACTGTTTGAGACACTGATTTTAAGAACAGTCCAAAAACACGCTGAGGAAATAAACTAAATGCAAGTCAGTCTGGCATTTCAATGTATGAGGCTGGCTGATTACATCACCGTAAAATTTCAACAATAATATGTCGACGGCTACTGTGTCCTTCCATATTGTGAAAGTATTGTAACGTGTTTCGTTACTGAAGACGCCGTGATTGTTAATTGGTTTATTCAACAACCTACAAATCTCGGCTACAATTAATTATAACAAAATTGTGGGGTTTCACACTTTATAACCCTATTCGCAATATTCAATTCGCTCTATTGTCAGTAGTCTACACGATTCACAGTACGGGAGCTATACAAGTGTCACTGTGTTACACACTCCCAATTATTACTCGGTTATCACGAACTATCACTGATTCTCGCACACGCGTCCGTAACTCATAACTTGCAAACTGAGAACTGTCGTCGGCTGCTGTGTAGTTCCCTTATAAACCCTCAGCAGGGCAACGAGAAAAAACAACCACGTAGTAGGTATCACTGTTGCTACCATCGTCTATCACAACCACTGTTTATCCGCGTTGCATAGTGACCAGTGTGCTGGGACTCAGCTCACTTCAGCTCCGCTCGGCACATCACCGTGGGGAGAGTGGCGGGGTGATGACTCGCCTATTACCTTAGTAACGAGAGCGCTACATTACCGCCACGTGCCGCTGGGGAGGTAGGGGTCCTCCGTTGCACAACATGTCACAGTATTTTAGCAAGACAGAAGACACCTGATGATTGCCATATACAGCCTAACCATATAATGTGGAAGAAGGGTGACTAATACAATGCATATAAGACGGAAATGTATGTGAAATAAATGATCTATTGATGCAACAGAATGCTTAAATAAAATGTTAGGAAAATAAAACATTGGGTGCATCCGTTCTTCTGTGACAATGTAAACTGGGGCGCTTATATTGTTTTGAAAGAACTTAACCTGGATCCAGACCTCGTCTTATGAGAAATTCTTTCCCAAGGCAAATCTATTTTGTCCTGCCTAGCATAGTCTGCATGGCATTTGTCGTATATACCAGGCTCTTGCTCGGTTAAATGCACAAAAACAAAATTACTGGCTTTGTCAAACTTTCATGCCATCCAAAGAAACAAATGAACCACTGCAGCACATTGTAGAACAACTGACACTAGGAAACCATGTGGCAACACAATTCTGAAAAGACTGGCATGCTCAACTGCCTTGAAGTTGAGTTTCTCAGTCTTTCCGCAAGTTGTGTTGCCGTTACCTCAATTTGCGCTGCACCATTCAGTAACATGTTCAACTCAGGTTGATAACAGTTCTCGGAAACTGCAGTTGTGTTGCAGTTGCCAGTTTCATAGGTGTGCCCTCACCCTTAAGGCAGAATTAAGTCAATGAAAGAATATTATAAACTAAATTTTTTATAGTGTCTGAATTAGACAATCTGAAGTGGTAAAGTTGTTGCCAGATCCTTGTCAATGGGAACAGGATGCATCATGGGAAGGTGAGGATGATTGTAGCATAAGAGAAGCTTTGTGAGAGAGGCCTCATTGTTGGTATTACTGATGGGAGCAATCTGTGAAGTATGCAATTGAGATGGCATCGGGTAGCATGATGTACATACCAAATTTCATAATAATTGGTTCAGGCATTCAGGTAATATTCAGGTTATTAACTCAACAATTTGAGGGGCTGTTTATGTTTATTTTAGTCATGGGAGTGATTTGAGTACACTGTTGAGATGGGTTCAGGTGCCATGATGTACATGCCAAGGAATTCAGTACTTGTTTGTGGGGGGAGGGATACAGACAGCAAGATGATCTCATATGGCTGCTGTCATTGCATGTTTTCAAAATAAGGAAACTGGACCAAGAGAATGAAAAAATCAGTCCAACTGTAGCATGTTCAGAATGATGTCATTCCAGAGAACAGTTTTTCATATTCAAGCGGGCTGAAAAATTATAAATCCATTCAAGTCTCAAGATCAGTCTTTTCACAATATCAACACTTTCCCATAGATGTTGTGTATATTAGGTACTATAAGGCTTTGTAAGAGCAAGGTGAAGGGCCTGAAATTACATAATTTTGAGTTATCACACTGAACAGTAGGTCACAGATGAGCAAGTTCCTGAACATAAAATTGCTTTGTTAATGCAATGTGAAAGAACCAGGTGCAGATGTACTGAATTCCTTCCATTTCTGTAATCAGCAACGCAGTGCTCATAAGTTGCCTTTGAATAGCAACAGTATTAAAGACTAAATGTGCACTAATCACATGGCCCTTCATTATAACAAAACTCAAAACTTATTATTTATTCTGATATGGAATGGATTTCCCTGGAGTCAGGTCTGAGATATTGAGGCTCCCAGTCTTATCCACTGGCTACCCTTTACCCCGAGGGTAAATGTGTGCAGTGGAGTGAGTGGGGCAAACTTGGTGATAGGGCAGGAGGCCACACCTAGTACAGAAGGGACGGACTCGATTATCGGGTCTCTAGGAAGTTACCCTAAGAAGTGAGAGAACACCACAAAGGGATTACCATACAGTACAGCCAGTAATTTCTAAACCAAGATGTGATTGGCCAAGTCACTCAGATCCACAGGAGGGGGAGAGGAGACAACCCAGTCTGTGCTAATAGGAGCGGCAAACAGAAACTGTGAGAAAAAGCAGCCCTTTTCAGGATCCGAGTATCAATCTTTACAGACAGGGCATGGAACTGTAAGAAAGGAAGGGGATAGATCACTGGGAGGGGAAGCAAAAATATCCCAGAAAACTCATCATTTTATGGTTTAAAATTTTCATTGCCAATGTACACGGTGCATAGGCATATAAACAGACACACACACACAACATACACACATACACATGAATAATACACACAAATACAGCACAATCCCCTATTTAATTTTCTTAAATTTAAGATTTTCCCTCACTTAGTGTCCAATTTCAATGATCCAAACTCATAATCTCACTGATGCATTACTTCCATTCAACAGTAGCCTCAGTTCGGTATTCAAATCCCTTCATCCCAAAACAAGCAATAAATGGAGGTTTTCGTAATTACAAACTCCTCTCAAACAACTGTACACCAAGACGGTAAAGTTCGATGTCTGGGCCTGGTTGCTGACTGTCGCCTGTGGTCTCCTTCACAGGTAAATTGCAGAGCTGACGCCTGTCAACAAAGAACATGAGATAAACGTGGCATACACATTATAAGCATATTATTACTAGCAGAATTTGTGCATTACATTTAGTTTTTTTTTCCAGAACATCTGATGATATAATTGTAACTATGAAAACTATAGTAATGCTATGTTCGCTGGAGACAGCATGATGTTCTGAAACCAGCAATCTAAACTCAGCTGGCTGGCTGCCCGCTTCTGCCGGTTTCCTGACTGGCTTACTCTTCAACCCTTAAGACTGAGGCAATATGTTACACCGTACTGTCAGGCTCTCTCCAAACTATGTGGCAAGACCACAAGGACCCATGGAAATTCTCAGTCTATTTCCCTGAAACTGTACAAATCAGATCACCATTACTTTTATACGATGTATCAATTCAAACAAATCAGGTATGCGAAGAGAGCAACAAAATAATGGTCATCTGTTCAGTACAAATTTTTAACTCTTCTTTAATTTTATGAGAATACACTCAGATTTCGGAAACATATGCCTTACAAAGGACAAGGAAAAGTTTCTGTCATAAATTTTAGAAATAATTATAAGAAGTTTATTTACTGTGGCTTCCCATCGAATGTAAACATTAAGTGCATAGTACCCCTGCTTTGCATTCAGGATATCCCTGGTTTAAATCTCAGCCCAAAGACTGTTATCGTTTGACTTCCTTGTGCTTTTCCTCAGTCCCTCCAAATGACAGAAGTATCTCAAATTATGACATAACTACTTCTTTCCAAATCCTCTTCAATTCATTACTAATTAATCCTCCTATGATTTAACACCATAAAATATGAGGTACTGATAGTATGGTTAAATGAACCATAAATATATAAATATTTTCCTCAGTGGGGGTTCCTCCCATTGTTCATAACATGATGGGTTCAGAATTCTGTTGGGTTCTTTATGCCTGTTCTGCAGAATCCTAGGGCAATGTGGTACATACCACAGATCCCTGAGTATCACTCTTTATCGTCCAGGGATGAAAGATCTTACCCTGGTACTACAAAACCAGGGGCAACATTCTGACTTGGATGTACTTGTACTAGCATTTAAGAAATGCAAAATCTGGCCACCAGGAGCACACAAATGACTGTTGTATGAGTGGTTTGGAGACTATTTAACAATGTCTAACCAACTACACAGATTGCTAAGCACCAAGTAAGGTGAGTGGATGGTTATATTAAGTGACTTGAAAAGACTAGGGACAAAGGAGTAATAATGAACTTCATAAGAAAACATCTCTATATTATTTTTAATTTCTTGGGATAGGGTGAGACTGTGTTCCTTTGGTACGTCAGCCACTATTTGGCCTATTGTACCAGTCCTGGATGATGATGATGATGATGATGAGGGTAAAGCAGTCACTCAAATGAGAACTGGCAGGGTAAACTGAAGTATTTGAAGAAAACATGCCCCAGTTTCGCTTTATCCTCAACAGATCCCACATGACCTGACCTGGGATCAAACATGGGCCACCACAGTGGCTAACACTCTGAGCTATGACACAGTCTTGCAACATCTTAAGGAAACATGCGAGATGGGAGTTGGACCATGTCATTAGGATCTCAGTGTCTGTGGTGTCGAACCTTCAGGTTTCACTTTGAAAGAGCCAGTTAATTAAGGAATACCACAGGACTGATGATCATTGTACCACACAGGTGCCATCAATACAAACCTAATTGCCAGATCTCTTCGTGCAGATAATGCCCGCTTGTAGGGGCCAGAACTTGCAAACAGTGCATTGCGCCGGGCCTGACGTTCCCGCAAAGCAACATGAATTGATGCTACTGGATGGAAGAAAGACAAAGACGATGTCTTCTCTTTCGTAGTTGCACCATTCTCAGGCTGGGGATTGGCATTCTCTTTTCCATCTACAAGAGAACACATTACAATATATATAGATGATAAGGATGCAATGAGAGCTAGCTTCAATGGGGAACAACAGCAATGAGGTGACCTACACGTGCAGAATTCTCTCTATGAGACACCATGCATGATGCATGCTCAGTACCAGAGTGCTGAGGCTGCAGTGCTCAACTGCGAAACAGGCACATGGTGTACTTTATACAACACTTCAGGTTTACAGACTTACTTGTGAATGTGAATAAACTATTTATTTGTTTATTAAAACTGTTTTGTTTCTGATTCTGTATTATAGCATCCTGTTGTGTACAATTTAAATATTTTACTGTGTTTCTATCTTCTATACAATGCTTGTAGTGAAGTTCTGAGCTTGTAGTTTTCATTTAACCAACCACACACTGTCACTGTATGCTTATTACACTGTACAAAATGTTTTGGCATGTAATACTGTTACCACATTAAAATTAGTATAAATAGTGTGTTCTGTACACCAATGTGAGTACTCAAGGCTTAATACCACCAAACACAATGATAATGGTCATGTATTCTGGTACAAAACTACAACAAAAACCACAAAATCACTTTCAAAGGGCCCTTGAAGATTAAAATATTATGGCACAAAAACTGTGATACAATGTACCAACTCAAACAAATAAAAAACATACCAGAGCAAAAGCAGACCATAAATAATTCTGCCTGATCCTGTAATACACAGCATCCAGACCAGCTCTGTGGCCCACCCAGCCTCCTAACCAACAGGCAAAAGTAAACCTATCCCTGTAACAGGTCATGCAGTCTCACAGGGTTGTGAGATGGTCAAGACTCTCACATTTTCTAGACAGTCACCTAGCGGATGGTGGTGAGGTTACTGGGCGCTATTTCCCCGATGGTAAAGCAGCTAGGGTATGAAGCTCCTCTCATGCCGAAGTAAAGGATGTGTGGTGCTATACCTACACTCCCCATATGCCCTCATGGTGTAGTGCTTAATTAAAGCAGAGTGAATTTCACCTTTACTTAACATCCTACCTGTAACACACCCCATTCAGGATGCGATGGACATGAAGCGTGGATGGGGAACACATTCATAAGGGTCAGAGAAGGAGGGAGGACAATATTAAACATTAAGATGATTATTAAGGAAATAGGATGGGAGGTGGATGGAATTCTCTCATGATCATGCCCAGTGGTAGGATCTGCTGTAACTGGCAGATGGTTCTGTTCTTATGTTGAGGCCAAAGACATATGTCCCATGAATGCTGGAGACAACGATGACGGTTGAAGCCTCCTTGTCTCTACCTACTGTTGCATGCTCCTCCAGCCTCTTCTGGCCCATGTAAACCAGCCAACGGCAACTGTCACTAGATATTATCAAAGGCTATAACTAACTACATTTGTGCAAACACAACAGCTAGACAACTGGATGAGAATATAGAGAAGTATACCAGAGGGTCAATCCATGGGGGCTTTTTCCTGTGGCCTCAGTAGGGAAAAAAAATAAGTTAATTGGGTAGCTGAAATTAAAATATGAAGTAATTAAATATTTCTCACCACCACCTCCTTCCTCTGTTTTCTCTTCGACATCTTTGTATTTGGCTTTCAGACTCTCCACAAGATCCCATCCTCCATACCGAACAGAGACACCCAGACGGACTAGCACACGATGGCTCTCCCATCGCCGACGAGCTGAACCAGGGGTTGAATCAGCTCGTGTCCGAGGTCGAGACTCTGCTACAAGGCTTGCCCAGTCAACACCAAGTGCATCTCCAATTCCTGGAAATCAACAAACCCATTATTATGAGGGATTTTCAAAAAGTTTCTGCACTTTCATATTTTTGAAGAAAATGGAAAGAGCAGAAGAGGTGGGGGTGGGGGGTGTACTGTAAGGTATCACGTGTCTAGTCAGCAAGGCAAGCCTGTTGACCTTGCACTTAGTGTGAGAGTTGCTATGAAGCGGTGAAGATGCCAAAACTGCACCAAGGAGGAGCAACAATCAGTGATACATTTCTTGTGGGCAGAAGGTGTACCAGGTGGATAAATTCATCACCACATGTGTGCTCAGTACAGGGACAATGCTCCCTCTCATAGAGTTGCATATCAGTGGATTGAAATGTTTGAAAATGGCCATATGCGTGGCTGTTGCAGAGTGCTCTGATCATCCAGCCACAGCCAAAACAGCACAGAATGAAGAGAGAGCTAGGGAACTGATTCTTCAAAACAGATGAGTGACAGTCCATGAAATTGCAAAACAACTGAATAACAGCATTGGGTCTTCCTATTCTGTGGTGCATGATAACCTCCAGTTCCATAACGTGTGTGCCAGGTGGGAACTGACAGATGAGCATAAGCTTAAGACTTCTGTTCCAGCCACTTGGCTCATTATCATGAAGGTGACGACCTTCTGCAGCAGATTGGCACAGGTGAAGAAACCTGGATTCACCACCATCAACCAGAAACCAAGCTGAAGAGCATGCAGTGGAAGCATCTGTCATCTCCTGTTGCAAAGAAATTCAAGATGCAACCATTGCCAGGCAAGTTGATGCTGACCATCTTCTGGGATTCTCAAGAGAAGGGGGGGGGGAGATGGAAGCATAATTTGAGATCTAGGCTTACCAGTTTTGGCCTCTTCTGGATCCAGTTCTTCATCAGATATTTCTTCAAAATCTAAGTTGTCCATGGTCTCCTCATCCTGGTGCCGTTCCTCCATATGGGATGTCATTAACATCGATCTGTAAGAAAGTCAGTCATACAATGTACCAGAGTTAGAAGGTGGAGACATTAGGTTCATCTGAAATTCTATATGTAATAATACAAATGCTGTCATGAATGCAACAATTTATTTGGTTGTAGTTCTTTGTCTTTTCTTCCTCTACACTACATGTTTCGGCCATAACTGGCCATCATCAGGTATATTTTTCACTACGTAGCTGTCACACTGCACACAATCCAAAATCTAAAACACCTGCCTGTCACTTTTGTTTAAAATCTCGCCAACATACACTCGTCAATTTGATTTTAGAATTCCAGTTTAAAATTTAAAATTCAATATTTAAAGTTTTAAATCACAGGGATACCCGCTCTGTGTCTACATGTGCTGCAGCAGCTATTTCTTGTTTCCAGCACTGTTCATATATTATTCTGTGCAGGCTCCCTGTGTGTGTGTCACTGCTCATCTTTAATACTTTTGCCCATCTGAAATGTTGGTACCAATCTACGAGATTACATGGTACCACTTACGAGAAGTTTTGTGATGGTGAATATTTGTCAATAAGATTCACAAATGGAAGGCATGTCCTAGCAGTGGAACCTATAGTCATGAGAAGATAACACGCAAAAGAGTTTCTCCAACTTCATAAAAATGTGACCACTTCCACTCTCATTCGTCATACCAAACCTCTCCTTTCTTTACTATGTACCATCCATACGTCAATGCCAAATGCAAACAGAGTGACAAATAATCTTCGCATAAAACTAAAAGTCATTAAACATGTCACTTATTTTTTGTGGTATGTCTAATGACACTGTAAGTAGCACAGACCATTGAAAAGGTTTGAGAATGAGGTGACTGTTGAGGTACTACCCCAGTTTCCTCCTTTAGAAACTGAAAAACCACAAGAAACCTCAGTTACAATGGCTGATGTCCAGGCTGTTTGAATACTTAATGAACCAAACAAGAAGTGGAAGTCCTACCCACCTGATAAAAACATTTTCTACATAAGTTCTAATCAGCTAATTAATCGAGAGATAGTGACTTTTCAAACAGAATTGCAGAACGGTATATTCAGTTCCTACAACATGAATACTTATTAAACAGTCATAATTTTAAAATTTTAGAGCAAAACATAATTCTGAAACATTTCATAATTCATTATTTTCAAAAACTGGAACCCTTCCACCTAAAACATCACACTTTCAGAAAAGTACATCCTGGGGGTGGCAATATAGCTGACATACTCCATGGCCTGTAGTCTGCAAGTGAACTACACCGACCGAGTGACCACTACTTCTTGGCGAAGTTAGCGACAACTTTTACAGACAGAGGGTGTCGCGTGGTCAGTGCAACGGATCCCCACAGCCATTAATCTCGGTTTTCTAGACCGGACAACTGACATACTAACTGCCATGAAAACTGTGATACCTGCCAAGTACGTGATCAGCACTTAAAATCTTGTTACTTCTACATCAGTGCAGTCCCCTTACCGAGCATCTACATTAATTTCCTGAACCACAGCAGATGGCAGCCTCTCCTCCCTATCTGCTGCGTCTTTCTCAGGCTCCCTTGTTAGGACATCCCTGTTTCCCAGCGCCGCAGCAGCAGCTGGTGCTTGCACTGCAGTCTCTCCGGCCAACGTACCTCCGGTTAACTCCTAACAAGCAACAAAACAGTATCAGTTACTTACATGTTTAAAACACTCTTCATAGACACATATCAGTGATTCACAAGTGTAACAACTCGCTTTTCGCAAGAACAATATAAACAAGTTAGGAAACAAATGCAAAGCATAACAATTCTGGTGCATTCCTTCCCTTTTGTTTAGTTACTTCAAAAATTATATGACTTACAAAAAGTGTATTGGGGATGTGATGTGTTTCATTTTTCTTCTATAACAGCTGTTCAAAACATTTTTTATTCCAACAAATGTTTACTGAGTTAAGCAAAAGACGTGCATAGAAACACGCGTATGTCTTCATGTGATGCCCATTTCTGTTGCTCAACAAATGAAAATTAAAATGTGTTGAAGAATTTTAGTAAAACTCAACATCAGATTTCATAAATATCTGATCAGCAGTTTTCGAGTTGATACATGCAGACAGACAAACATGGCGAAATTAACGAGCACATCAGCAACTTTCTGAAATGCACATGCCAAAAAGGATACTGAAACATGTCAAATACAGTGCATAATGAAGGCAACATAAGCAGCCCGCTTAGACAGCGAACAAGAACTACAGAACACAGAGATACAATCTGAAACATGGTACTTTAATGTCAAAGTCTGTGTAAATCAGGCTTACCACTTACAAGTGGTGTACAAAATTATATGAAGATTCCACAAAAGAAAAAGTCATTGAATGAACATACTACGAGTAACTACACTGAGGACCAACCAACTTCACAGCGTTAATTCTCTCTTATCACGCATGTTGGCTCAAGTGANCTGGGTGGAGCCAAACTACATGTCAAATGTTATGACTTGATCCATGATATGTATACAGTGGCCATCTTGTAGTGCACTCAGTTTCACCTGTTACTTCACGACATGTTTCGGCAACATAGTGCCATCATCAGGTGCCCAAATTACGTTAATCTATTGCATTGCTTGCCCTCATATGTCTTCACAACACCTTTTTAAATACTTTTTAAATGGTGTTGTGAAGACATATGAGGGCAAGCAATGCAATAGATTAACGTAATTTGGGCACCTGATGATGGCACTATGTTGCCGAAACATGTCGTGAAGTAACAGGTGAAACTGAGTGCACTACAAGATGGCCACTGTATACATATCATGGATCAAGTCATAACATTTGACATGTAGTTTGGCTCCACCCAGTCTGAATCTTAGAACCCTCAGAACTATCCTGACTGAGGCTTTTTGTGGTTTTCCACAGTCCCTCCAAGTACCTTCAATTACAGCATGACCACTTCCTTCCACATCCTTTCCAGTTCATTATTTACAGGGAACTAATTATTCAGTACCCTATAGAATGAGTTACTGATAGCTTCAATAAATAAATAAATAAATGTATTCAGAAACTGACAATAGCTCAGCTGGTCAAAAAATTCAACACCATTTATGGAAGTCAATGGATTCATTATCACATTCATGCACACCAGAGGACCTCATGCTAAGCCAACTGAACACATGTCATCACATCCTAATTCTGTGAGATCCCTTCTAACAGATGGTAGCACGTTCTGTATGTCAGAAGTAACAACGCAAATAGGGTATCAGGACCATGGCCATCTATATTTCACTATATTTTGTTCTTTATGTAAAGCAGAATTGCTTACTTTCATTTGTAAATCAACAAATCATTAATTTTGTTAATAGTTAATAAACATCTGCACTAAAATATCTGTGGAAAATCAGTCATGTAATGACCTGGCTGATTGTCTGAGAATATTTATTCATCAAGAAAGCTTAATAATAAATATTTCTTAAATTTCTCCTTTCCAAATCTCTGTGCATCTGGTACACCATAATATATGGCAAAAATACAAACAAAAATATAACAACAGAAAATTTTCAGATAACCTCTCTACAAATATCAACAATTAAATACACAGCATTTAAGTGGGGACAAACAATTTGGAAAATATTTTCATTAGCACTCATTTTATCAAAATTTCATTTCAATAAACAATTTCTCAAGTTGTGGTCATTTTAACTGTATTATATAAGAGATAGCAGTTGCTTCTGGCAACAAATAAACAAACAAACTGGAAATTAAGCTGTCAGTTTGATACAACCACCTAAAGATGGGAGCAGGACCAATGCTCTGTTCATATAAATAAACCAAAACATGTCACCAATCTTCATACATTGAGAGTAGTTCCCCATATCACCAATAAATAATTCTGAAAATCAAGAGTGAAGAACTGACATAATAAATAACTGCTGATCAGATATTCTGCATTTCTCTGATTTTGACAAAAGAAATGGGGGTATCATGTAATTTAGTTAGGAATAATATTCTCACTGAATTCTGTATATTGAAGAAAGCAGTTAGGGTAATAATAACATGTTTAAATTAAATCTATAGCGTAAGTTAGGTAAATATCCATGTCATGTATACCTTGTTCAGAATGGTATGAAATAAGGATATACTTTAATATTATCACTGCTCTACAACTTTGCTTTAGTACATGCCATTAGGAAAGTTCAAGAAAATCGGTATGGTTTGGAACTTAGTGGGATATACCAGCTTCAGGTCAGTGCTGATGATGTTAATTTACTGGGCAGAACATAAATCTCACAGAGAAAAACATAGGAGTTCTATTAGATGTTAGTAATGAGCATGGTCCTCAAGAAAAGAAAAACAGAACTAAATGTATGTATATATGTCTCATGACCAGAACACAGGACAAAACCACATTGCACTACGTATTTCCTAAAGAACAGTATCACCCCACTTCTTGTTACTTTCCTTACTTATAACCAGAGAGGCATCTACAGCCCTCGCCTGTAACTACAGTGGCAGGTAAGGTTATACTTGCACTTCATGCCATGAAGATATGGGGGGAACAGAGGTACATAACCATGTATTCCTAATCTCAGCACTCAACAGAGGTGAGTACCCTATAATTATATGCTACAGACACAAGCAGTCACATACACACATTTAGACTAGCCAACATAATGCAATTATGCATCCCAGTTCAAAGTCACATGACACATTAAGACCATGTATTTCTATGTCACAGTATTTCCTTCTGTAACAGAATACACAACTTACTGAAGGGAGCACCATGGGCTTCAGTTACAGCAGCTACATGTATTAAATGATATAATAGGCTACTTGAATCCAATTCATACCCTCATATACTATTTCTATTAGATCTGTTAATATTATATTCTCATCTGTGTCTAGGTCTCACAAGTTGTCTCCCTTTTCTCACTAAAATTCTGTATGCATTCCTCATCCCCCATAATTTGATTATCCTAATATTTGGAGTAGAACACAAATTACACTCAAAGCTCTTCATTATGTAAATTTTTCCATTCTCTTTGCTAGACTCTGCCTGTGCCTACCAGGCCACACTGTACCCACAGCACTGCCATACGGCTTACTGTTGTGTCCCCCCCTGCCTTCTGAGACAACTTGTTACCATTACACGTACATACACATGCACACACATACATACATACATGTCTGTGTGTTTTAAACCTTTCCTGTCCTCTGCCAGAAGGCTTCCAACATCCTAATTTTTCCATACACATTAACTTTTGGAAGCCTTCCACAACCAGTTTTTGGATTTACTGACTCAGGTATCACCACGAGCTCAGTTTTATGTACTCAAAAAGTCACCCAAGTCATAATCAATTTGCAAGATGGCCTGCAGAACATTTATACAAATGCTGACTGCATGGCCATGGTGTGTCCATCATTGGTGTCAGCTGTGTTTATGCCTTTGATAATATGACTTGCATGATTTTTCAATCACCCTGTACCTTTGCTCTTTACATTTTCTCATATCTCTTCTGGTAATTTATATAAGGTAAGGTACAGCTGTCCCTGTACTTAACTAATTAAGCACTATGCTATGAAGATGTATGGGGGAGCAGATGTATAGATCCACGTTCTCTTGACCTCAGCACTTGTTGGGGGTGAGTGGTCAGCTTCACAACCCAGCCACTTTACCCCCAGGGAAAGAGCCCTTAGTACCCACTGGATAAGAGGCTGGGTGGGTCCCCACAGTCAGTCTGGATGATGTGGAGAAGTGAAAATTCTTGCCCACACTGGGGGTCAAACTCCAAAGAGATGGCAGGAGATTTATATTATGTTAAACAGCTTGTGTGTACGCTGTTTTCACATCATTCATCTGTCACAGCTGGTTCCACGAGTAAAAATCATTAGACAAAGGACTGGAATGGACTAAACACTTTGTCCGAAGAACGGCACGTCACATAACCTACTGTTACACATTCATGCACAAAGTCTTGGACAATACAAAGCATAGAATTCTTCAGGCAGTACAGAATGCAACACAGGAAGACCTAATGTTGATGTTCTCAGAAGTGATAATGAGGGGCAATGTCTCCTTCCCCATTAAAATGTGGGGAAGGAGACTTGACAAATGAATACCATCTACCCACATCCCTAGTGTCATGTGACCTTGCATAGGATGAAGGCCAAGACTCTTACTGGGTGCTCATCTGTGCCTCTGTGATAGAGTGGTGTAGCAGGCGCCTCAGCAGTGCCATGCGGCAGTGCTAGTACTACATCATTACCGTCCACGGCAACCGCAAACTCTTCCACCTGTCAACGCGACAACAACTGAGCAAGTGCTAATCCCAGTAGCTAACCCCACAGTGTTGAACATAAATAAGTTAGAGCAGTTACTGTAACATGGGCTAAAACATATGGGATTTGCAGTTCTCACAGAGATGAATAATAAGAATATGGCCTTCTGGGATGTGATGCCATGTAGCATGGTAGATAGGTGTCAAATGTCTCAGAGAAAACTGCCACCTCCATCTTTAGGGTACCCTGAAGACAGGGGCAGCACATGCCTTTAAAATGTTGATACCTCTCTACCAAACTACATAGTATCACAGCCCGGTAATCTTAATGGGCTAAATTACAATTACTGACTTTGTGGACATTATCGATCATCTTATCTTTATTTAAAATGAAGTTTTGAGTCTGGACTCTTGTCTCCATTTTCAAGTAAAGAGCCTACTCAGTTAGGCCCAACTCAGTAGGCTTTTTACCTGAGGATGGAGCAAAGTCCAGTCTCTAAAATATTGTTTCAAATAAAAGTTGGATGATGGACAATGTCAAAAAATCTTGGAACAATTCACACTTCTGGCCACAACTCTATGGTCCTACTCTGGTAAGTGCTCCTTCCTTACTAACTTACCAGTAATTTATGTACCACATCCTTGTTATGCCAGTCTAATTTAATATCATGGCTATCATCTCTATATATAAAAGTCTGATATTTCAACTGAAGGGTCTGGTCTATCACAGCTCAGAGTTAAATGAAGGATCATGTGCAAATATTTTAAAATCATATACACTAATTCCAGGAATTCTGCCATCATAAAAAAAGTTTCACACAGTGTACACAGAGAAAAGGAAACGTAAAAATTATGCACATTCAATGAGGTTCATAACAATCACAATGCCAAGGTCTGATCAAAAAATTCTAGGATTGATTCTATTATGCAAAGAAATAAGCAAAACTGTCCACTCTTCACCCAGGTCAATGCTAAAATGAACTTCGCCAAAACAATGTAATTGCTTTATTTATATGAACATCTTTTAAATATATCTCTAGCTCTTAGAGTAATCTTTCTAGTGGAAAGCCACTCTCTTGTTTCAGTCAGATGAGGGAGATGCTATTTTATTTAGATATGTTTGTCTCTCCTATCACTTTTCAAAATGGTTGAGGTGCATTTGTAACGCACATTCTTAACTATTTCCTATCTTGTCAGAAGCCTTCCAACCTAAACTTACGAATTTATCACCAAACTATAATCACACGTTGAACGTTATATCTTTCCTTTTACCTATATCCTTTGACATTTCTTACAGGAGTTCAAGCACAGGAAAAAAACAGATGTCTGGAGTTTTATACTTCACCATCCCACAGTGTCTTTCTTTTTTAATTTTAATGAAGATGAATTTATATTTGATAAGGGTGAGAGATTTATATACTCTGCAAAACTGGAGAAAACAGTCAAAGAAACTTACCCACCAGCAGAAAATCAAGTGATAACTATTCTGATGAATATAAATTGAATTAACCATTTCAGTCTTTAGTATTGCCCCAAAATGTCAATCTCAGAAAGTTTTCATTCAGACCTTATATTGAACAAGATCCACAATACAATCTCAGTCACATGAACAAGGAAAACACATTTAGAACCATGCATGTTCAGGTGAACTGTTGACCATTCACCATTATCACCATAAAATGACTACACATTTTTTCACATAATAACTGATGCATTATGCACTAAATTATGTAAAATTAACTCCTTTTTGTGCTTACATCTTTTGGAAAATTTGGAATAGAAACGTGTAAAAGGCTGTGTATGTACATCTGTAATGTAACGTAACCTAATATATCTTAATCTAACAAGTTCAAGATCATATACATAAATCTGTAGCATGAAAATGGTTAACTACCTGAGACGCACGGCAACACAAAATTAAAACTATACCATAAAAATCACTGTATCAAGGAACAATCAATACTATTTTTCTTGTGGTACTAAATTCTATGTAATTGGTTATTTCTTTAAATTAGCCAATCATTTGTACCAAATAACCCTGCAAACATAACAATATTAATAAGATAAATCTAGTTGGTTCCTAGTGTTTCCAGGCATGGTTTGACCTTTCTGGCCTCTACTGATCTAAGCAAAAGCATGAAATTCGTTTCTGAAACGAGGGCACCCAGAAGCCAGACTCCATCACCCTGACTAGTGACAGTGCAGTCAGCATGCCAGACCTGCAGCTTGACATGGGCACCAAACCACAGAATGGGATGGCACTATTCCCATCGCTAGGTGCTTCATCTTCAACAGAGGTGAAGAGTTCAGTAAGTCAGCAGAGACAACTGCACACAAACTTAACCAGGGACTGAACTTGAAATCCTCTGAGTGAGGTCAGCAGGTCCACAAACATGTACGTTTGTATTACAAGTAGTGTCCTTAGTGCAAAGAATCCTGTGCTACTTACACTGTCCTCCCGGTTGAGAATCTCGTCTGCATCATCGTCACTAATATCGCTCAGATCCCCTTCAAGAGGTATGGACTCCTCCAGACACAGCTTCTTGGCTTCAGGTTTATCTGTCTCACTGTCTGAGGCATCTCGAGGCCTCTTGTTTGAGGCTGGCTGATCTGAAGTCTCTCCCAACTTTTTGCTTGGACTCTCATCCACTTTAACAAGTGCTGTATGAAAAATGTACACAGTTATATCAGTATCCTCTATATAAATATTGTGGTACATCTACTGAAAGCCAGAACAGCGAAGCTAGCAGAGACAGGCGTTGCTAGGGAACAGCTCTGCAAACATGTTTGTTCCTAGGAAATGGCTCAGTAAATGTCAAGTTAGAAGGGCCATGCTTATGTTTACTAAGTCACTTCCTAGAAATGGGCATGTTTGCAGAGCCGTTCCCTAGCAACGGCTGTCTCTGCTGGCTTCACAATTCTGGTTTTCAGCAGACATACCACAATATAATTAACATACAATAAAATCAGCACGCAGCTGGGTCCTTGAAACCTGATAATCTCTCAGCTACTCAACAGATCCCCTGCCATTAACCTTTAACGTACAGACTTTTAAATTGCCGGGAGCCCTCTGTGGCTGGAATTTAAATCGCCCTAATTAATTAACATAGCCAACTTTCAGAAAAAACTACATATTTTCCATTCTATGCAAGGTAGAAATACAAACTAAAAACAACCTGAAAGACAATAAAATTTTCAACAGATACACAAAAGAGCAATTTTTACAAACGAAAATTAACTGTGATTATTTTGTCATGAAATGCAAAATACAATCTTTATTATGTTATGAAATTACAGAGGACTTACCTGTAGTTTTTTTTTCAACTTTGAGACTTGGTGATATTGTAAATATAATCACCCTATATACAACAATATTTTGTTCAGACTGTACGCGAGTTTGAACTGCGTCACTTCACAGTTTACGATACCTCACACTCTGTCACGCGTGCCATTTCTCGAAGCAGTCTGCGACACAAAGCGCAACATCACACTTTTTGCAATAGAAAATGGTGCTCCTGCTTTTCTTATTTAGCAAAACACATGACGCCTTTGTTTCCCTTTGGTTGGCCAGTGTTGTGAATGTTTCACCTCCAGTCGACTCAGTTGGACCCCAGATAACCTTGGCTTACTCCGAGAAACGCCACTGACCGTGATATTCACCTTGTACGATTAAAGAATCATCTTGGGAGAGGGGGTTTCCAGCTAAATCGAATAAATTATGTTGATTGACAAAGAGACACTCTCACCTGTTAGTAATACCCGCAAAATAGTGATGCAAAGTAATTACTCGTATAATACTAGTTGAAAAGAGTGCCAGCCCGACACTGATACCGAAAGTCACAGTGGTGAAGATGCCTTTTACTCACAAAGTAATACTGGCTCAGTGGGTTTATACCTCTTCCAAGACACAAAATAAAAATGATACACAAAGATATATGACAGTCTGACACTGACTATCTAACTGATAATTCGTCACTGAAAACCAATCCTTGAATACATCACACTTCCTTGAAAGCTCTGGAAGCACTGATCTACAAGCTACACTGATCTCAAAAAAAAAAGATGGTCTATATTTGGCGGACCAGGTCATAAACAGTCATATCTAAATGTGAAACCAGTACCGTGATAAACGATTTTATTGTTCAGAGCTAAGGAATGAACCACTGACATGACCTTACATGGGTTTGTTTTGGTTTCAAACCCAAGATCAAACTGTCAGCACTCCCAAAGAGAGCACGTGTCCTGCCACATATAAATATAACATTCGGCCAACACGGGGTGCTGCTTGCTTCATATATATATATATATATAAAACATTCGGCCATTAACAGTGAATGCAACCCGACGGACTTCCTATGTTCAAGGGCATGACATTTGTATGCATCAGATATCTCGCCCATGAGGGCTACATGTCCTACCTAACCTAGTTGATTCATTCATTCTAATAATATATAGTGAAGTATGCATATTCATTCATTCATCAGTAATCTGTCAGACGACAGGTCCACAGTCTCTTCCAAAACAGTTCCTCCACTTAATGCGATCTACAGCTTTCTCCTTCAAATGAGAATATCCTCTTCTGATGAAGCTCCAAATCATGTAACTTAGTTCAGTATTCTGTTATTTCCCCTTCTTGAGTCAAACTATTCTGCTCAGCACCCAATTCTCAAATGGCTTCAAATTCTGTCCTTTCCTTAACGTGACAGTCCAAGTCTTACATGGAACTACAGGAAAATTATAGCTTTGCATTTTCTCTTTAAGCAGTGGAGACTGATATATTGAGTTTTTGGACTTTATCCATCGTCCTGGTTTCTAAGATAACTAATAAAAACACGACGTTTCGGAAACTGGATCTGTTTCCGAAACGTCGTGTTTT